GGGCGGTCATATTGGGAGAGCGATGTTAATCCAAGCCGGGCCGGGTCGGGCGTATGGCTGCATGGCGAGATTGGAACACTCCCACTCCCGTCTTCGCGGGCTTCGCCGCTTCGCCTCGCCACCCCGCCGCCCCAGAGCCGCGCAAACATGAAGGATGGCTTTATTCCGCCCTGACGCGGTGCACACAATACCAGCTTCCTGTTGCTATTCAAAGGAAATATCGCGAGAAAGTAGCGCGGCGCCGCCGGGCACCGCGCCCGGCCCGGCCCGACCCGACCCGACCCGACCCGACCTCCGAGAGTCGTTTTCGTCGCTCTGTCTCTCTCGCACTCATAAGCGCCCCCTGTAGGTGAGAGGGAGACAGAGCGACGAAAACGAGACTCAGAGTCAGTCTGCTGACCCGGCCGCGGTGCCGCGGGGGCGGCGGTTGTTCCGGCGTGGGTAATGGCGCGGACGGGCAGGTGCGGTGCGCTGTGCGGCGCAGCGCGCAGGGTTGCCAACTTTGGAAGCAAATTGGACTGCCGCGGGCGGAGGCGGTGCGTCATCGCCCTGCTCGTCAAGTCGAACCGGTCGGCAACCGCAGCGAACCACAGCGCGCTCCGAACCACGGGGTGGCCGTTCACGTTCACAGCACTACTCAGCCCCAGGGCCACTGAGCACCTCCCCGTCAGACAATGCGATCTGCCCGTTGGGTCCGTTGGGTCGAGCGGCCGGCCAGGGCGGGGGGCGGTCCGTGAATGACGCTGGCCTGGTCCTTGCCCCGGCAAGGCGGGACGCGGCTACGCCGGGCTACGCGCTGCGCGGCTCGCGGACAGCCAATCTGAAACAACGTCTGACCTTTCCGTCGACCGCAGAGCCGCAGCCGGCAACGCGTGGCGGGGCGCGGGGCGGCCCTCAACAATGTGCCGCGCTGCCGTTTAGTTTGGCACCAGCCGCCGCCGACCGCGCAAGGGACAAAGGGACGGTCTGTCCACTTTCCGAACGCGGTGCGCCTCGCGCCGCCTCGCGTTGTCCCCGTCGGCCAGTGACCACCACTCGGACTCCGACGCGGCCAGTGCGGCGAGGCGGGGACACTGCCGGATGAACGCGGTGCCGCGGTGCCCCACGTGGTGCGGGCCGCGGGCCGGGGCTGGCCTGGCGGGGCCCCGCCGCCTGCATCGCCTGGTCTCCATTCGTCTTTAGTGGCCGCGGCTTGTCTTGTCAGCAGCCTCGCGTCGCAGCCTCCGCGCTCCGCCTCAGTGGGTCGGCGCGTCGCGCAGTCGCGCGGCGTACAGTGTAGTGGACCAGCCTGCGTGTGCGTGTGGACCAGCGGGGACCAGCCGGCCACTGCTATCATTGGCGCGGCGCGTGACGGCGTCCGGGACCATCCGGGACGCGGAGCCGGGACACCGACGACGCGGACCTGCGGCGCCACTGCGAGCCAGCGACCAGCTTCCGGGCGTGCAGGACGTCCTCCCGTGAGTACACGATCCACCGCGCCGCCGCGAGGAGAAAAGGTCACCCCGCGACTGTCAGTGAATGAGTCACTTCCACAGTCTCGGACACATTTCACGAGAGCCACGTCCCCCTCGGTCTGCATTTCTTTTGGTTTCATCCTGCCGCCGTGTGGGTAGGCAGTCCCGCAAGGCAGTCACAAGCGGCGGGCTTGCCCACCATTGTTACCATTACGGGTTAGACCACAACTGGCCTGCGAGCTCGATTCCGAACAGTGCCGTCGTCGTCGCTCTGTCTCCCTCGCACTCGTGGGGCGTTCCCCTCGGGGTGCGAGAGAGACGACGCGGCCGAAGCGCTGAACGGAATCAAACAGCAGCAGCGCGGCGGCGGCGGCCTGCTAGGCCTGCTAGCGCCTCATGGTGATCAGTTGCCGCCAATAATTATGCATGAACACTCGAGGCCATGGGCCTTGCCGGGCCTTGCCTTGCTTTCGCCTCGCGCGGGCCTTCGTCGTCAATCTGGAAGGCGCGTCCCGACGGCCCGGCCGGTCAGAGAGGGGGCTGCCCTGCCGCGCCGCGCCTCGCCAGCAGCTACACTAGAGAGGGAAAGTTTTTATTTCGGAGCCAATTTGCAGCCCAGACGACACGCTGCGTTTACCGAGTGCATCTCCGCCCCCGCCTTCCCTCCCCTCCCCGTGTTCTCTCTGCCTCCCTCCCCGCCGTTTTCCGACACGTCTGAGCAGAGCGAGCGGAGCGAGCAGCCCCGAGGCGTTTCCACGGCTTCCACGCGCGGTTCGTCGCACAGTGGGCCAGAAGACCGGTGAGGCGGCCAAAACTCTAGGCGCGTTTTGAGCTCCAGAGTCGCTAAACAGGCCTCGAACCGAACCTGTGACCCCATCAATGGATTGCTTTCCGAACGAGGAATCCATTGGTGGGGTCACACGTTCGGTTCGAGGCCTCTTTAGCGACTCTGGAGCTCAAGACGCGTCTAGGGTTTTGGCCGCCTCCACCGGTCTTCTGGCCCACTGTGCGTCGGGGCGGCTTGGCAGGAAACAGGAACCGGGGCAGGAAGGGGACGTCTTTCTGAGCGGGAGTTCGAAGAAGGATGAAAATGAGTGCGGTCAGCGTCTCGCGAGACGGGGCGGGGACGCGGGACGATGCGCGGTGCGCGCGCCGCCGCCACCGCCGCGACCCAGTGAACGCCATGAACGCCGAGTGCGTCTATTGTCGCTGGGAGGCGTCGCGGACACGCCGCGGACACGCCGCGTCCCGGCGACAGTTCTTGGGAAAACTAACTCCGCCATCAGGCGGTGGCACTGTCGCCAGTCTGGGACTGTCGCTGTTGTCGGAGGAGCCTAGCCGACGGAGCCACTCCTGCCGGCCTGGCCTGGCCTGTTGGCTAACTTTTCGGTCGGTATTGGACCGAGATGCAAACGCGCCAAGTCCGCGAAGCGCGGTGGGGGCGGCGGCGCGCCAGGGGTGGGGGACGCACTTGGTATCGTTTGTGATGACGGGGTGCACTGCGACAAGCCGAACTGGAGCGGCTCGACGTGGAGCGCGCGGCCGTGCCGTCCGTCACTGCTTCGTGGTCGTCGTGTTCGTGACCGCCCGATTGGCGCGCGAGCCCCACGGGGTATTCTTGGACGGCGAGCCCCTTGACTTTGACGCGCACGCCATGGCTGCCATGGCGCGGCTCGCGTCGTCGAGACCGCGTGCACGCACCGCGCCGCACTGCGCGGTCCCGCCCGTCCCGCCGCCACGCACCTTGACACGATCTGCGGCCGCCAGGTGACTATTACACTCTAAATGTAGGGTGCCCAGTAACTGGGCGCCTTTGTCGCCCGCCCCACTTTTTAGGGTGCCAAATGTCGCCCAGTTTCTGGGCACTTTTGTCGCCCAGTCTCGGGGTGGACAAATCATGCAGTAACCGGCCCTCTCCCATGGCAGAGCATGGACAGGTGTCTAGTTCCTGGGCGACTAAGGTGCCCAGATTCTGGGCACCTTTGGCACCTTAGTCGCTGCTGAGCCATGGGTGAAGGCAGGTTCCTTATGGTTTGTCCAACCCAAGACTAGGCGACAAAGGTGCCCAGAAACTGGGCGACATTTGGCGCCCTAAAAAGTGGGGCAGGCGACAAAGGCACCCAGTTACTGGGCACCCTACATTTAGAGTGTAGGCCGTCCCGCTTTTGTTTCGTCGCTTTGTCTCACTCGCACCCCCTCGGAAGAGCGGCCAGCGACGGCCGCGCCTCGTCGCCGCCGTGCCTTGGGCTGTTTTAGCTCAGACTGCGAAGGCCTCGGTGAAGGCCGCCCCGGGGAAGACCGATTGACAGCACCAACCTCGGATATCTCAGTTCGACTATTCAGCCCCCGAAAAAAAGTTGTTCTTTTTTCGGGCGAGAACCGTGTTTAAATGGGGGCCAAATCCTACTCGAGAGCGTTCTCGCCGCGTTTTGACCCGCATGGCACTCACTGCGACGACACCTTCTTGATTGGCGAAAACGCGTCTTTTCTCTTCTTCAAGAACCGGGACGCGACACTGGAAACCCGTTCTCGAACGCGGCACATTTCACGCTCCTCTTGGCCGCTGCGCCTGGTGCCGCTCCATACATTCAATAGTTCTGCGCGCCGCGCGCACGCAACAACTACTTGCTGTCCCACTCCGATTGCCGAAACCCTTGAGTTTGATGAAGGGGGGGGAGTAGGAGCACCGCTTGAACTCGCGCCTAGATGACATGTCGGAGTTGCTTGAGGCGCCACTCGGCGCCGGGACAAAGACGGCGCTCCAAATTCGTTGCAACTTTGTCGAAGTAATGGAGCGCGCGCAGCAGGCAGCAGGACAAACTTGTCACACCGCGCCGCCACGCAGCCACGCACCACGACGCGAGTTCGCTCGCACGGCTTCCCCGCTGCAGCTCTGCTCTCTCTCTCTCTCTCTCTCTCTCTCTCTCTCTCTCTCTCTCTCTCTCTCTCTCTCTCTCTCTCTCTCTCTCTCTCTCTCTCTCTCTCTCTCTCTCTCTCTCTCGCACTCCCTTGGCGCCTCCTGACGGGCGTGCGAGAGAGACAGGACCACGAAGCTCTGTTCGGAATCTGCCTTGCAACTTGCTGATGTTGTTTCCAGGAGCACTCGTGCCGTGTGACCGTGCGACGGACGGCTCGACGGCGTCGTCCTGGTCGCCCTGGTCCAGCGGCCCGTCGTTGCAGCCACCTGGGGCCGCGCGCCGCCGCCTCCTCTGCGATTAGCAGGAAGACGTTATCGTAATCCGGACCCAGATTGTGGCATCGCGGCGCCCGCATCGCCGGGGAGGGGAGCACGCCGTCAGCGCCGTCAGCGACAACACCGCGGAAGAGCCGCCGGCATCTCACATCTCCGGCGGGGCAGGGCAGGCGGCAGGCCGAGCCAGGCCGAGCGAGCGCCAGAGCCAGAGCCGGCGAGGCGAGCCGCGAGTCGGCAGACCGGTCACGAGTGGGAAGCGCGCCGCCACGCCGACCCGGCCCGACACGGCCGAGTGGGACAACAGAGACAACACAGACGACCGACTTTTTGGCGCGCCGCCGCAGTTCAAGGCCTTGAAGGCCGCCGGCATGCAGCGCAGCGTGTCCGCGGCGGCCGCGGTCGCGTGCCTCGTGGTGCTCGCGGTGGCCCCCGCGCTGGCGGGCCCCGCCGCCCCCACCGACTACCCCACCGACGCCCCCACCGACGCCCCCGCCACCACCACGCCGGGACTGGACCTGCTGCTGATCCACACCAACGACATGCACGCCCGCTTCGAGCAGACCAACAGGTGAGTGCCTGCTACTGCCTCGCACCTCGCCGCGGCGGCCGACCTTTCGAGAGGTTGGATTATTTATCGTCGAGAGAAGGAAGGACCAGCGTCTGCTGCAACCGGGCAGCAGCAGAATCCGCAGCAGCCGGCACACGGCGGCGCGACGCGATGTGACAGTTCGACTCATTCGTCTGGAAATCATTAATCATTGAAAGCCTGTGGTGTCCTGAAGCCGAAAGCCTACTGTCTGAGATTTAGTTGGGCATTTTAATTTTAGGTGCCACCACTGCCAAGCACAGGCCTGGGCGAGACGACTAACCTAAAAAAGACCGCTCTTTCGTATAGAAGGCACTTTGTTTACTGTTTATCTTTAGTTTTCGCTCAACTTGACACTGAACAAAATCAAGGTAATGGATCGCCGAAAGAGACAGCACGACGAAAGTTGTGTTCCGTATTGGCCTGCAATTGAATTGGAACAGTGCTTTCGTCGCTCTGTCTCTCTCGCACGGATACCCCTGAAAGCGGCGTTCGGAATGGGCCGACTGGGGCATCATTAGGGCGCGGCTATTTCAATTTCGGCGCCAAACTTGCAAGGGCGGAGGGCGCTCTGGCGAGGGAAGGGACCCGAAGGGACCCGAAGGGCCGCTTGAAGCTTGGACCGCGCGTACGGCCGGCGAGAATGGATTGATTTAGTTTGCCGGGCTTTATTATGATAGGCGGTGGCAGCGTGGGTCCGTGCCAACGCCAACTCGACCCCGCCCCCTTCCCCAGCCCCGCCTGGCCCCGCCCCCTGCATGCGTGACGCACGCTCTTCCAGTCGCGAATTCCTCAAAAAAAAAAATGATAACACGAACGATCGAGAATTTGATGATTGCTCCGCGTTGGTGGACTGTCTGCGCGGAGGTACGGTGGCATTATTACATATTTGGCCCCGGATTCCTCGCGTGTTTTCGCTCGAGTTGCCGCGCGTCTGTTTGATTTGATTTTGGCAGGAAATGTGTGCGGGTCCGGTTGTATTCCAACAGCGTCCGCGTCCGCGCCGCGATGCCGCGATTCGACGAGTTGAAAAAGTGATACTGCGCGCATCCGCGTGGCATCGCGAGAGTACGTACTGTGAAAACTCCGAAAAAAAAAAGCGCAAGCGGAAACTCCGCTATCTTCACACCGCCAAAAATTATTCCTACTGCATTCTCCTTTTGTTTGAAACGGAAGGATTAACCGCGAACTACTCCGACCACCACTACTTTGGAAAAGTTTGGAACTGGGTGACTTTGGTGCTGCAGGTTCTCCAGCCGCTGCTCCGACGCCGAGGCGGCCAGCAACTCGTGCTACGGCGGCTACGCCCGCATCGCCGCGCACATCAAGGAGGCTCGCGGCCAGGCCAAGAACGGCGGCCCCGCCGTGCTGGTGCTCAACGCGGGCGACACCTTCCAGGGCTCCTTCTACTACAACATCTTCAAGTGGCGCATGGCCGCCGTCCTCACCAACATGCTCGCGTTCGACGCCATGGTGAGGTGGCGCCCAGGAAACAATGTCAATTTTCTACTCTGATTCTTTATTTCAATGAAATGGTTCGCTGGGCGTTTCTCTTGCGGCCCTTTTTACTCCAATGGCGGCCAGTTTAGCCTCACCGGTCAGCCGGCTGTGGCAGTGCAGTGGCAGTGCCGGCCCAGGAGTTTGAGTTTGACCGCTCTTCCTCGTCCGCGTGACGAGCACCGCATGCACCGCATGCACGTCATAACCAATCGCACCACTCGCGCACCAGGGCTCGGCAAAGAGTAATGGTGCATGTTTCGGACATTGTTGGCAAAGTTTTGCCCTTTCTGGCGGACGCTGCTCATGTCGAACGAGGGTGTTGCGCAGGGCAGCGCGACGCTCCACGACTTTAATTCGGTCTGGTAATTTGGTTACCCCAAGTTGGCCCGCGGCGAGTTGGGCGTGCGTCCCGGCGCGTCCCGGCCCGCGTCCGCGCCGAGCCGTCCCCGCGTCACAGATTATGAAAATGGCCAGTTTCCTGGGGAAAGCGCCCGCACGCCCCGCCAGCGTGCTCGCGCGTGTCATCGAGGGCTGATTCCGGACGGCGCGGCGCTTTCGTCGCTCTGTCTCCCTCGCACTCACGGAGCGTACCGTGCGGCCGTACGGGTGCGAGAGAGACGGAGCGCTGCCGTTCGGAATGCTGTCGCCATAACGCGCTGCGAACGGCGTGTGGATACAGCTCGCTTTACGCGCGGCGATGAACCGCGGCGAGTCGTGACGCCCGGCCGTGCGCGCACAGTGGGCCAGAGGACCGGTGGAGGCGGCCAAAACTCTACGCGCGTTTCGAGCTCCAGAGTCGCTAAATGGGACTCGAATCGAACGTGTGACCCCACCAATGGATTCCTCGTTCGGAGAGCAATCCATTGGTGGGGTCACACGTTCGGTTCGAGGCCCATTTAGAGACCCTGGAGCTCAAAACGCGTCCAGAGTTTTGGCCGCCTCCACCGGTCTTCTGGCCCACTGTGGCGCGTGCCGCGTGCCACGCCAGGTGCTATGGCGCGGCGGGGCGTAACGCGGTGGCGCCCGACCGGCACCAAACTCGCACGGCACGGCAAATTGTCGAGGCAGGTGACCTTGCTCCCACCGGGCCGGCACGGCACGCTGCCCGCACAAACAATGCCCTGCAGGCCGTGTCGCGGTGTGTCGAGACACGTGTGTGACGCGTGCATGCGCTTGCCCCTGCAGTCCCTGGGCAACCACGAGTTCGACGACGGCGAGGCGGGCCTGGAGCCCTTCCTGCGCGACGTGCGGGCGCCGCACGTGTGTGCCAACCTGGACGCCAGCGCCAACCCGCAGATGCAGCAGCGCGTCCGGCCCTCCGTCGTCCTGGACGTCAACGGCACCAGCGTCGGCGTCGTCGGCTACGTCACGTCCGACACGGCGGTGAGTGAGAGGAAAGTGGTTTCGAACCGCGGCAAGGCAGCCCGGCTCGCCAAGAAACTGGCATTCCGTGTTCTAGGTCCCCCCTACGTGAGTGCCGAAATCCCGCTCTCCAGGAATGAAACGCAAAATTTTGGCACTCCTGGTTACGGAACGCCAATTCCAACGGTTTCGCCGTGTACGTAACTAAGTTGGTTGTTTCGGACACGCCGCTGTCTCTCGTGGTGTGGGAACAATTTACGAGCCTGTAAACTCACGGCACCCCTTAAGTTATGGATACCTGTTGAAAGAAACATTGCCACTTCCCCTCTCGATAAGTGCCAGCGACCCCGGCGGCGTAACTACCCTCTCCGGGCCCTTCGTCGGTCCTTAACAACTTCCCCGCCCGTTTCTCCCTCCTTATCGATCAGGGAAAGTATTCCCGCCGTATTCCTGGCGCTTTTATCTCCCTCTGCACTGCAAGCCCTGGCCTCCCCCACCACGCCCCGCCTCGGCCCGGCCGGCGCAGGAAATTCGCCATTTCCTTGGCCCTGATTATTTTCGCCACCCTGGAACGGACCCCCTTAGTCAAGGCTGGAAAAGATCAAGGCGGTGCTTTCTCCAAATCAAGTTGTCTGTCGCCGTTCCCTCGCGTTGCCCCCGTCCCCGCCCTTCCCGACACTTTAAAAGTGTTAGTGCCGTTGTTATCTAGCGGTGCCATCACCCCCGGCGCGGGCAAGGCGAGAGGCAAGCGGGCACCTGCCCGGACCAACGCACAGTGGGCCACAAGACCGGTAGTGGTGGCTGAAATTCTGGACGCGTTTTGAGCTCCAGAGTCGCTAAACAGGACTCAAACGGAACGTGTGACCCCACCAATGGATTCCTCGTTCGGAGAGCATTCCATTGGTGGGGTCACACGTTCGGTGCGAGTCCAATTCGGCGACTCTGGCGCTCAAAACGCGTCTAGAATTTAGTCCGCCTCGAACGGTCTTGTGGCCCACTGTGCAACGGAACCAATAACGGTGAACATCTCGGGGCTTGTATGCAGCTGCTGGCCAAGCCCGTCCAAGTCAAGTTCCTGGAGGAGATCGCCGCCGTCAAGGCCGAGGCGCAGCGCCTCCACGAGCAGGGCGTCAAGATCATCATCGCCCTGGGCCACTCGGGCTACCCCAAGGACAAGGAGATCGCCGCCCAGGTGCCGCACGTCGACCTGGTGGTCGGCGGCCACAGCCACTCGTTCCTCTACACTGGTAAAGTGATGACCTGCGGGTATCCTGCGGGTCGCGCTGCCCAAAAAAATGTGTCACGCTGGTATTTGAACCCAGGCCCCGCACCCGACAACGACGAGCCGGTAGGCCTGTACCCGACGTTCGTGAAGCAGCCCTCTGGCCGCGAGGTGCCCGTCGTGCAGGCCTACGCCTTCACCAAGTACATGGGCCGCCTGCGCATCCAGTTCGACGCGGACGGCGAGATCGCCTCCAGGAAGGACGTCCGGGGCCTGCCCGTGCTGCTGGACCACACCCAGCCGCAAGGTGGGCTCGCGCTGCATCCATTTTATTTCCCGGGCATATTTTACGACCCATCTATGCTAGTCTCCCTGGAGTATTGGCCGTAAAAATGTCGCAGCACTCGGCGTGCAGCGGGCAGGCCGCGCAGGCCCACTCGGGGGCACTACCGCGACACGGAGCATAGATCCAGCAAAAAAAAAAATGAAATCATTCAAAATTGTCGTGTTACTGAACCTGTGATGCTACCTGTTTGTTCGGTAGATCCACAGGTGCTGGATGAGCTGGAGCAGTGGAAGAAGCAGCTGGACCCCGCGACGTTCGAGCCCGTGGGCAGGACGCTCGTCTTCCTGGACGGCGTGTGCAGGATCAAGGAGTGCAACCTGGGCAACCTGGTGGCGGACTCCCTGGTGTACTACGTGAGTGCCTCGAGGGCGTTCTTCGGAGCGGGCCGCGGCCGCGTGGTGTGATGCGTGGCTTGAACGGCGGCGTGCTCGGACTGATGTCAAGTAGCGTTAGCGGCCGCACGGTTCCGCCGTTCTGTCTCTCTCGCGCCCCTGCGGGACGCCCTATGAGTGCGACAGAGACAGAGCGACGCTCCTCGCCATCAGCCTAGCAAGGCCGCGTCGCGATGCAAACAGCGAAGCCTTTCTCACGTGCCATCTTCGTTGCGCTCTTCATTCTGAACGACCTTGTGCTGCAGCGCGCCACCCGCTACTCCGGGCCGGGCTGGACGGACGCGCCCATCGGCGTGCAGAACGGCGGCAACATCCGGACCTCCGTGGACAAGGTGGGCGACGGCACCATCAACCTGCTGAACGTGATCGAGACGTGCCCCTTCGAGAACCTCCTCGTGGTCGTGTACCTCCGCGGCGACGTGCTCCTGCAGATGCTGGAGCACAGCGTCGCCGAGTACGACCTGCAGTACCAGAAGGGCGCCTTCCTGCAGTACTCCGGTAAACCAGGCGGGCCAGGCGGCTGGTGTGGTGGAGGATTTAAAATTGGCGCGGGTTGGTGCAATGGTTTCTGGTTTCTGCTCGCAGGCATCCGCGTCATCTACGACCTGACGGTGGCGCCCGGGCGGCGCGTCGTGTCGGCGCTGGCGCTGTGCGGCAACTGCACCATCCCGTCGTACAGCCCCGTGGACCCGCGCCAGGTGTACGGCGTCGTCACCAACGACTTCCTCGTGGCCGGCGGCGACGGCTTCAAGATGCTCAAGGACGCCCCCAGCCTGTCCTTGGGTGCGTTCATTTTTCCACGCTTCACCGTCCTGGGTGTCCTTCCCTGCCGCCTTTTGCGGGTCTTTGAATCCCTGACGCCACCACTTTCCCCAAACAAAAGGGCATGACATTCCCCTTGCGTTTTTTGCTGAGTCGGCAGCACTGAAGGCAGAGTGGCGAGTTCTTAGGAAAAGACTGCTGAAAAGGCTGAGCAGGGTCGTCCCCGCTTGGGTGCCCCGAGTGGCGCCCGGTGGCAGGCAACCCATCTGGCGGGCGAGTAGGACGGGCAGACAGGCGGGAGGCTATTGCGCGGCTAGCAGCCCAGCCCTGATGGCTCGACTTGTGGCTCAGCAGCCCGATTCCGAGAGTTGTTTTCGTCGCTCTGCCTCTCTCGCACTCACGGGGCGCCCCGCGCAGGTGCGACAGAAATGAAGCGACGAAAACGGCTCTCGGAATCGGGCTGCTAGCTGTCAGCGAGCTCAGGGCCTGAAGGTGAGAGCGCCCGCTACAGAGCTTAGTGCACAGCATGGCGACGACGCCGCTGACAACGTATCTCAGAGAAAATACCACTCCAGGCCGTTTTGTGGTAGGGTAGGTCAGGCGAAAGGGAACGACCACGACACTGCTGAAGGGCTCCTTGTTCGTCTGTTGCAGCCGACGTGACGCCGTACGGCGCCCTCGCCGAGTACATCCGCATCCACAAGGTGGTGGCCCCCGCCGTGGAGGGCCGGGTCGGCTTCCTGGACCGGAGAAAGAAGCCGATGCCCAATGCGGCGTCGACGGCGCTGCCGCAATCCAGTTTATTATTAGTGTTTTCATTAATGTTATTATTGCTATCGACGAATCGGTAGCAATGGTTGGTCTAGATAATAAATAAATAAATACTTTAATGTTCGTGGGTGTGCTTGTTTTTTTTTCTCTGGGGACACATTGGCAAGAATTAAAATATGCCGCCAAATTAAAGTTGTAGTGGGAGGTTGATTCATTGCCAACCTTGCCGATGGAAGGATTGGTCTCAAACGGCCGCCGATCGACGTGGATGCAGCCTTTCGATCATGAAGGTTTAAGTTTCAATCGTTTCTTTCAAAATTACCATGCGACAGGTGTCGTCTTCATATTTAGTCCCTAAATGCTAAATGTTTGGCGGGCTCAGTTTTTCTTTCTCAATGTTGGCAAGGGACTGCCAGTGAAAGTCTTTGTTTACATGTTCAAACAAACAAACTTGTTTTCCTGGATATTGTTGTAACTTTTTAACCTTGCGTTGTCAATGAAATTTGCATCTTTCTTGCGGTTCATGTATTCACTTTGAATTCTATTCGTGAGCGATGTGAGGTCTTAGTTACTCGTCAAAGCATGCACGAGTCTTTACATACCATTGTAGGTTAGAAGTCCCCACACTCGATGGGTCGCAAGGCCAAAACTTTGACAGGAGATGTCATCGAATCTTTTTTTGGCGTTTACTTGCTTGTGTCTGCGAGTACGAATCCTCGGTACAAGGGACGCACCTACATCGGCTTCACCGTGGATCCCAACAGACGGATTCAACAACACAACCTGGGGAAGGAGAAGGGGGGAGCTTGGCGAACAAGTGATAAAGGCCCATGGTAATTTCGTTTTCGCTGCATTAGATCTTCATTTTTTAAAAAATTTTTGTGTTTATTTTCTTTATTTGCATATTTTTTAATGCATCATCGTTAACTGAAATTTCAGGGACATGGTCTTAATCATCCATGGATTCCCGAATGACATATCAGCATTGCGGGTGGGTTTCCTTTTCAAAATACTCCCATTCTTGTTGTCTCTCTATTTGTATGATGATACAAATGAATCATGTTACAGTTCGAATGGGCATGGCAACATCCTCAACGCTCTCGTCGGCTCAGAAATGTAACCAGGAAAACTCGTAAAGAATCATCGTTTGAATACGCACTGCGAGTTGTCTCCCAAATGTTGTGTGTTGGCCCTTGGTGTAGACTTCCTCTTTCTATCAGATGGCTTTTGCCTGATCGTGCCCGAGATTTTCCTGTAAGTTTATTTGTCAATATAATTTATTGTTCTTCTGGAACACTCGATTTTGTTCAATGTTTTGATTCTTTTTTGTAGGGCGGTAATACTCCTCCGATGCATATGGCAATTTGCCATGGGCCAGTTGTGAGCAAGAAAATTGCATCCAAGGAAGCTGATGATGATTTATTTGAAGAGTTTTCATCTATACTGTGCTATATTTGTAAATCTCCTTGTCTCAAAGACAATACCATGCAGTGTCTTCTCAGAGATTGTAATGTGGAAACACATGCAGTTTGTTTAGCAAAACACTTTCTAAGGGATGAACCAGATCAGTTTGTGCCCGTGGAAGGCTCCTGCCCAAAATGTTTTACGAGTTTCTTGTGGGGAGATCTAGTGCGCAAAAAGAAGGGATGCTATCAACAGCTTGGCGAAGACAATAATGTGTGTAATATATCTGAATATGATTTTGAAATGCCTGACTTTTAAACGGCGTGGAAATCAATTCACTTTGTAAATGAATTTGATATTTATATGAACTGTTAAGGCCTTGCCTTGAATATATATATTTTTTTTTTACAATTATTTAATTTGTATAAAGAATAAACATTGTTCATTACTAACTTTCATTTCTGTTCTACCTTTATATACATTCAGAGTGATAAATACTAAAATCTACAGAATCATAAATTAAGAGTGCAAGCTGGGGTCAATAATTTGTTTTCCAGAGGCCATTTGTACGCTTGTACAAGCAGCCGAATTGTTGATTAGAGTGAAAGTAACGGACCCCTGGGTGCAAGTCGGGCATACAGCCTTGATAAGCGTACTGGAACAGCTTTTCCCGCGTGGCCGGAGGGCTGGAGAGGCAGTCTCGTGCTGCTAGTAGTCGAAACCGAGATCGTCATCGCCGTCGGGGTCGACGCCTGGCGGCACGAAGGCGCCGCCGAAGGCCTCCGACAGCGGCTCGTCCCAGCCGAACCACGACGCGAAGCCCCACACGAGGCGCAGCACCATGATCCTCACGAAGTTGAACACGTTGGTCTCGCTGGGCGACACGGCTGCGGCCTGCGCGCCGCCGGCCGGCTTCTTCTTCTTCTTCCTCGTGCCGTAGTAGTCGTAGTCATCGTCGTAGTCGTCGTCATCGTAGTCGTAGTCGTCCTTCGCCCTGGCCTGGAGGGCGTTGCTCGCCGGCAGGGTGCGCGCTGTCGCGGGGACCAGGAGGGTCGCCGTCGAGGACACGGCGTGGCGCTGCAGCGCGGCCTGCACAGGACATGGACATGAGTTTGGTACGTCGTGTCCCGAAGACACTCCTCTCGGAACGCCGGGCCGTTACACTGAATGTCACAGGTGAGGTCGAACGGCTTTCGATTTGTGGTCCAGTCAGCACTAGCGAGGGCAGGCAGCACTGTGGCTGGGCGTCGTGCGGCTAGGTCGGCCTAGGCGCACCGCGCACCGCGCACCGCCCCACAAGCGCTCCGGCAAGCATCTCAACGATTCCAATGTACCGAACCCTTATTGCACCGATATCGGAATTTTAGAAATCCCACCGGCAAAGAGGAATTCGACGGCGCATACCGGGGCGGCCGGGCCTGCCTGGCCTGGCCAAGCGCCTGGTGACTGAATCGGCGGAATTGGGTCGTCTACGGCACGCTCCACGCCGTGCCACGCCACGCCAGGGCGCCACGCACGGATGTCTACTCCCCCAGCAGAGTGATTCCATCGCTCCATGCCTCTCGCTCCTGTGCGGGACGTCCCCTGAGTGCGAGAGAGAGGTGGAAGGCCTTGAGTGAGTGGTCCAGTCAGCTAGCGAGCGCAGGCGGCAGTGTGGCTGGGCCATCTTGCTCGCTTTGCTCGGCCAGGCTCACCGCGCACCCCCGGCCCGCGCGGCAAGGGCTCGGCTGGGCCCCCTCGTCCCGATTCCAAATTTGCCAGTGGGAACCTTAGGGGGCACCGGGTAGTCGGAATTTTAGAAATCCCAAAACCGGGTCAAAGGTGGAATTCGACGGCCATACGGTTCCAGTTCAGCCTGGCTGGCCAAGCGCCTGTGACTTAACGGTTGAATTTTGCCGTAAAAACGGCCGTACGCCGTGCCACCCCCGCCATGTGGCCACGCACCGTGTTCTCCCCAGCAGAGATTCTGCTCCATGTCTGGATCGGGGTGGCGTCTCTCTCCACTCTAGGGCTCTAGGTGGAGTCAGCCTGCCGCGCGATGCTACGCGGGCCCATCGCGGCACCGCGCCGCACGTCGCCGCTGCAATTCGGGTCTCTTCAGCCTCACGCCGGTCCCATTCAATAGACACTGGGAGGCGGGCGGAAGGCTTCCCTCGCCCTGCACGGCTTCCGCGGCCCGGCGGAGTAGTACCGCATCTCGACGGCACTGCCAGGGCGAATCCGACACGGCGAACATCCGCACCGCCGTTGTGCGAGCCCACGCGGACCGCCGCCGCGCTCACCGTCAGGGCTCTGTTGTGTCCCATCCCTCTGACGGTTGTCGCCGACGTTGCCGTGGGGCAGAGCGCTAGTTCGCAGTCCAATCGGGCCAAGGCCGGCCAAGGCAGCAAAGGGCGAAGGGAAAGCACGCCACTTGCAGCGGCCGGGGTTCGATTCCCGAGCTGCCCATCACTGCCCATTTGCCAGTGGCGCCCTTCTACGCTCAACGCCGCGCCCGTAAAGACACTGTTATGGCGCACCTAATTGGGATCGAACCGCGGACTGGCGCTCCGCTCGTCGGGCCGCTGCGGCCGCGGCTAATCGTCCGTGCAGTCGTTTTTGCGGTCGCACTCACCTCGCAGTGCGGGAGCAGCTGCCAGCAGACGAGGAGGAGGGCTGCCGCCACTGCCGCCACGGTCCAGCAGGCGCCGGGGGCGGTGCTGCGGCGGGGGCGGGGCTCGGGGGCGGACACCCGCCGCACTGACCACGTCGCCGTGGACTCCATGCAGCGCTTCTCGGTCCCGGGGACGCGTCGAGAGGACGCCCTTGTCCTTGTCACCTCCTCACATCGCGGGGCCCGGCGGGGACTCTGTCAGGGCGCGCGACAGGTAATCCGGGCGGCGCGTCTCTCGCGTCTCGGGGCGTTCGGCGTGGTTCGGCGTGGAGAGCGTCGCGGGGAACGCCTCGCCGAGAGCGCGGCTCCAGCACCGACTCCAGAGACTCGAGCGCCTCCAGCGGGCCGGCGGGCTGCAGGCACGACCACGGGCAACGCGCTTCGATTCGAACCGCTTGCAGGACTCGGACTGGCGGTCTGGCCGTCGGCGCAGCAGGACGACTCACTGCTCCTCCTGCTCCGCGCTCGCCTCCACTCCCCCGCCCGGCGTAGCCCGGCGGTGCGGTGCTGGCCTGGCGCCGCGCGGTGCACTCTCTCCTCTGGCTCCTCTGGCTGGCCGTGGCTAGCCGTGCCTCAGGGGCAAGGACGGCGACCAGCCCACACACGCCCGCCACCCCCCCGCCCGCGGCCAGCGCGCGGCCAGTGGCGGCCAGGGCGGAAGCCACGCGGCTGCCAAGCCCCGCCACGCCCCGCCACGCCCCCCAAGCCCCACCCCGGCCACGCCTGCCCCTGGCGGCCATGCGGCGGCCGGGCGTGAGTGCCGATCCTGCTGCAAGGACCGAGGGCCGCACTCCCCCCGGCCGCCACCCAAAAATTTCTCGGCTTTTTCCCCGGGTCGTCGGCACTGAGTCCTGCCCACTGACTCATTCTTTGTTTCCACAGCCGGCGCCAGGGATGCCGGCCTGCCCGGCCAGGGCCGCCGGGCCGCGGTGCCTGAAAGACGGCGTGGCGCGGGGCCCTAATTTTCCTTTTCTTTTCGTGCCCCCCTCCCGCTCCCCCGCCTTTCTTGCTCTTTTTTGCGTCCGGCGAGCGGACCCGGTGCCCGGCCGCCGCCCACGACCCAAAACGGGGGCCTGGCCCGGTTTTTTAAGTGCGGCGTGGCCGGGGGCCGCGGCGCGGCGTGGGCGTGGCCCGGCGTGACAGCGGTGACAGGAGGCGTCGCGACGGTTTGGCGTTTTCCCTGCGCGGCCTGCCCGGCCCGCCGCGCCCGTTTGACAGACCAAAGACCAAAGCAACTGCAGCATCAGGCGCCCGCCTGATTGCTTTCATTGTTTCGGCCCTGTCCCTGCCCCTCCTCCCCGCCGTCGCGGGGGACAGGAGGCGCGGAGGAGCGAGCGGCCGCGCGCGCGTGTGTCAAACCAGCGGCGTTCTTGTTTTTCCACAAGCATTTGCTGGTTCTTTTACCGACCGGCCGCGCAGCCAAACCGACGCTGCAGCGAGTCGAATCGAATTGCACGTTGAAATGGAGCCCCGGCCGGGCCGGGCCCCTTTTCCTGATTCACTGTTTACCTACAGCAAAGTTCTGGCTAGGCCGAAAACCAAAAAGCGTCAGGCGGTCTCATAGGAAATGCAAATGTGCCCTTCGCGCTCTTCCTAGGGCCCCTTGAGGGAAAAGGCTTCCGGGGCCCGGGGACAGGCACTCTCATATGGCCGGGGGCCCCCCTTGCCGGCCCCCAAACGCGATTTTTCTCCTTCGGCGGTCCCGAACAGGCACACGCATTCTTCCAACAACACGGCTATGACGTCACTCTCCCACACTGGCGCGGATCCGCTCTCCCAAGTTAACACGGCTGCCTGCGTCGGCGGCGGGGAGGCTTCGGCCAGGCTTCGGCCCGACGCAGACCTGGGGGAGTGAGTGCGGCGAAGCGGCCAGAACTCGCGGGATTTGAACCGCGAAACTTTTGCAGCGGCTACGGTGCCACTTGACGAAAGTGCTCGTTCTGAGTGACCAGCGCGATGGGCGGTGCCCTGGCGGTGCCCTGGCGGTGGGCGGGGGCTCGCGTCCAAAATGGATGCGTCAGTGTTGAGCCGCCAGGCACGCCGTCGTTGGGATGCCCAGTGTGAAAGTTCGCCGCGGGGGGGCGTCCTCGTCCCGCGGCGTCCCTTGTCCTGTCCAGGGTTCCAGGGTTCCAGGGTCGGCCGGCCCGATGGCTCCTCCAGTGTCGTGCCAGCGCTTCCCATTCCAGGTCATTCCAGGCCGGCCTAGCCGCTCCAGTTTCCCAGCCACTCCACCGGCAATCGGATCGGGCTTCGAATACCAGCTGCCGCGGCCTTTTTTTCCTCCCGGCCGCCTGCGAAGGGCGCCCGGGCCGTAAAACAACAAACAACCACAGCAGCGCTTCGAAAGTGAAATAGGCCCCGCTGGATTGTCGTGTATATGGCCGCCATGGCGTCCCGGCCGTCCCGGATCGTACCTGGAACCTGGAACGGGACATGCACGGCGCAGGCGGCCGCGAGCGGCGCCGTGCGTGTCTCACACACGGAGAGGCGATTGACACGGAAAAGCTGCCGCCGCCGTGCCGTCGCCGTGCCGTCGCCGGGTAGGGGGGACACACGGCCGTCTCTGAAAGGCGCGGGGCGGAGGGGGGGGGAAGGGGTACCTGTTTAGTGGGGCACTCTCCCCGGCCTCATGAGGGGCGTGCCAGCGAGAGGGTCAGTGCGCCGGGCGACGCGTGCCGCGTGCCGCCGCCAACACCAAAACCGCAGCGCACGGCCAAGCCCTTGGCCGAGCCGGCCCCTCACGCCCCGCGCTAGACTGGGCGGGGCGGGGCGGGGCGGGGCGGGGCGGGACGCACCTCCGACACCTCCGGTCGTGGTTGGCCTGGCAAAGGCGCTCATTACCGTTCAGCAGGTTGCCTTCGGTCTGTCTCTCTCGCAAGCACACGGGACGTCGCATGAGTGCGAGGGAGAGAGGGATAGGGAGGCTCCGGGCTCATTTTCAGTCCGCAGAACGGCGCGTGAGTAAGGCTTTCGGTGTAGCAGTCCTCGCGGACGGCGGACAGGGCAGTGGGCACTTTGACCCGGCCGGCCCGGTACCTGGTACTACCTGGTGCACTGCAAGTCCCCGAATCGGACGCGCTGACAGTGGAACATCGGCCGCCCTGAAATGATCCGGGGTTCGCCTCTCGAAATTCAATTTTTCCTCGGTTTACTCATCGAATCCGGGACCATCACTCTAAGATTGGGTGAGGTGGGCAGAAGTGTTTGGGTGGCTGAGTGGGGACAGGCTCGGTAAGACCCGGGATCAAGTCCGGGGCACGGCGACAGTACGCTCAGAGCGGCGCCGTGAAGGTGACCACTCACTGACACCTCGCGGGGAAATGGCAATGTGCCTGCGCATATTTTGGAAAGAAAATGCTGGCCATAAGAAAAGGCATTTTTCCTGTTTTAATAGCGCAAAAGAATTACCACTGTCTCAAACTTAATCGTTATATTTTTATTTTGCACATGGTATGGTACTACACAATAATTATTACTGACTAAAAGGACACATATTCACACGAAACGCAATAAAAAATATAAAATTAGTTTCTCGCACACAGTAATAAAGTAACACATTCATTCACAGGCACACAGACACGAATACTGATGGCAGGATGTGGATCCACGGGAAACCGCTCCTGGATTGATTATATCACAACATAAGGTAGGCGTACAAAAAAAACAAACGACATTTGGACTAGGTCCGTCCTACGCGAATGTGGGGATGCAAAGATAAACACGCGGGACGAAACACGACGATTGAAGGGCCCGCTACACCAGCGCGGCGCTGTCGCTGGTTCAGCGGCAGCGCGCCTTTGAGATATTACTCCGATTAGGATCGAGAGGTCCCGAGAAGGGCTCAATGAAGCAAGGCTGATGCCTCGCCGGCCGGGCGCTGCGTGCTACCGTCAGTCGCCCTGACCGCGACTCCTGACCAGCAGGCGCCGCCTAGTTGAGTCTCCCGCCGCTGCTCTGCGCGGCGCCGCGGTCGCCGTGTGGTCACGAGGCGTCCTGCTGCTGCAGCGCCGCCAGCTCCTCTCGCCGGGCGATGGCGGCCTGCCTCATGGCCTCCTTCTCCCAGATGGTGACGAGGCGGTCCCACAGCGACCTCTTGTTGAGCGGACGCACCTCCACCACCTCCACGGCCTGCTCCGCGTCCGGCGTGGACGGGTCGTACAGGCCCGCCGCGGCGGCCGGCGTCTGCGGCTCGGGCGTCTCCGGCACGACCAGCAGGGGCGCCACGGCGGCGGCCTCGGCGTGGTGGTGGTGCTCCAGGCCGGGGCGGCGCGCGGGCGGCGCCGGATCCTGCACCCAGTGGTCCCAGGTCTGGATGACGGCGAACAGCCCGTTGCCGGGGCACTCCGTGTGCCTGACCTGGCGGTGGCCCACGAGCTGGTAGTTGGGGGCGATGCGGCCGGTGTCCACGCCGCACCGGATCAGCCACTCCACGGCGTCCAGCATCACCTTGGGCGGGGCCTCGTCTGCAACGGGAGGGAATCGAGTTAGGAGCGAGACGCGGCCAGACACTTTGGAGCTCCGCTGCCCCCGTCGGCCTATCGGACGCGGTTCAGGGGCCACTGCGGGCCACTGCGGGGCACTGCGTAATCTGATGAAAATGGCAGTAACGGCAACGAGGCAGAAGGCTGGCAACCGGAGCGGCGAGGGCCGACCACGCCGACCACGCGGTGGCCACGGCGCCACGGCCTGGGGTGGGGGCGTTCCCTCCTCGTGCCGCCGCCACACTGCGGTCCGTCGCCCTGCCTCTCTCGCAGCCAATCGGGACGCCCTAAGAGTGCGGGGGAGACGGAGTGCGGCTGGAGCGGCCCGCACCAAGCGCCTGCGAAGTGCGAGGTAGGCAATCAAGCGACACAGGTGTGCTGCGGTGCCGCCACTCCGCAGGCGCTCGGCGGCCCGACGTAGAGTCCTAGAGTGGGAGAGAAACGTCATGCCTGTCCGCGCCTTCTGACAGCGAAATCTGCCATACTTGTCATTTCCGGACCGCTGGTCTTGTATCCGGCCCGTCTTTTCCGCCGTTTCACTCGGGGAGGCACACGGCAGACGAAATATTGTTTACTTTCGGGTCGTTGGCCTGTCGTGTGACATTAGCGAGTTGCGAAGGTACGTCTTTTCGCCATAATGGTGTTTGAATTCCGGAAAACGGAAACCGGCGCAGCGGTCCGGAAATGACGAGTATGGCAAAGTGCGCGTAGCGTTTTCGCAATTGACTCTTCTCTCCCACTCTAGGACTCTAGCCCGACGTGCCCGGCGGCGGCGATGGCTATGATGGCGACGCGGCGGCGCGGCCTGCTCCAGATCCACACACCCTTGGGCCTTCGGGCCTTCGGGCTTCGGGCCTTCGGGCCTTCGGGGAGATAGCGACGAACTGCACTCTAGCCTCCCCCTCCCCTCCCACGCCGGTCTAAACACACTGGTTGCAGCCGGCCGGCCGGATCGAGCACCAAGTCCACCGGCCGGCCGCAGACCCATTCCGAGAGTCACTTTCGTCGCTCCGTCTCTCTCACACTGTCGCCCTGCCGTACAGGTGCGAGAGAGACGGAGCGACGACAGCGACTCTCGGAACGGGTCTGCTGGCTATCGGGGTGCAGTGCGGCAGGCGGAGGGGCGCGTGCGTCACAGAGTCGCCGCCCACTGCACGTTGCACTGCACGTTGCACTGCAGCGCGTGCTCGGTGCGTATCCGTGCACTTGTGTACTTACTCGACCAGTCGCCGATGAGGGTGATGCCGATGCTGTCCGCGTTGTAGGGTGGTGCGTGAGCGCCAATCCTGTTCCAGCCGCGGCCCTTGTACACTCGCCCGTCACCGCCGACGGCAAAGCTGCGGACAGGAGAGGCGAATTCAACTCCTCGCTCTGTCTCTCTCGCACTCGTGGGGCGTCCCGCGAAGGTGCGAGGGAGACAGAGCGATGAAACGCGGAGTGAGCCGGGCGGCACGCGTGGGTGGCGCGGCGGCGTGCCCTTGTGGCGATAAGGTGCTGCCCGATGCACTGTGAGGCCGGCGCCGGGCCGCTGGTGGATGCTGTACGCGGAAGTCGCGCGACCAGAGTCCACGTCGTGGCGGGGGCGGGGCGGGGGCGCGGCCGGGCAGTCCGGGTGGGGCAACGCGTCGGGTTCACTGGCGCGCGGGCCGGACCGCGAAGAAAGACCCTGGCAAAGCAACACACCTGTAGCCGATGTCGTCCCAGCCGTTGCCGTCCTGGTGGTAGACCTGCATGCTCTGCATGGCGGCGATGCAGTCGGCGGTGGTGGCGCAGTAGGCGGGCGAGGCGGTGTGGTGGATCACCACCGTGGTCACGGGGTTCTGCATCTCCGTCACCAGCTTGGGCAGCCTGGCGCCCCACTCGTCGCGCGGAACGATGCGCGGGCACACGCCTGGAACACAGAGGTCGGTGGTTCGAGTACCGGCGGCGGAGAATGCTTTCCGCGAATGCTTTCTTTCCGCTGGGTCCTCTTCGAGCCGTTATTGAAAGGAGAGGAGGGGCTTTGAGACGTGACGTCACGCTGCGCTCGCCGGGTGGATTCCGAACAGGGCTCTCGCTGTTCCGGCTCTCTCGCACTCTTAGGGCGTTCCGGAGGGGTGCGAGAGAGACAGAGCGACGAAAGTGCCTTTCGGAGTCAGCCGGCGGGCCTGGTGCGCACACCGCGCTCGCCGGACTTAGGGCAAATCCCGAGTCATTGGTTCGGCCCGGGGGTCCATGGCCCCGCCGTCGGGCCCGCCTCAGGAGCCGTAGGCCCCAATAAGCCCTTCAGGGAGGTCCCCTGCTGCCCTTTCCCGGTCGAGCCCCCAGACGCCCCCCCTCCTCCCCCTCCCCCGGGAGCGGCGCGTCGCCGCCGCCGCACAGTGGGCCAGAAGACCGGTGGAGGCGGCCAAATCTCTGGACGCGTTTTGAGCTCCAGAGTCGCTAAATGGGACTAGAACCGAACGTGTGACCCCACCAATGGATTCCTCGTTCGTAGAGCAATCCATTGGTGGGGTCACACGTTCGGTTCGAGTCGTGCTTAGCGACTCTGGAGCTCAAAACGCGTCCAGAGTTTTGGCCGCCTCCACCGGTCTTCCGGCCCACTGTGCGCCGAGTCCTGCAGGAAATCCGCGGCGGCGCAGCCCTGATTGGATGCCCGAAGGACCGATCCGGGAAACGGGGAAGCAACGCAACAGGAAATATTCGTGCCGCGGATTGTTGATCCGGAGGGCTGGCTGCCGCTGGCTGCGGGCCAAGGGTCGCCCAGGGCCGCCGCGGGCCGCCGCGGGCCGCTAGGGCTGGTCCGATTCAATCAGAAAGGTACACACGCGCGTCGAACCGGTTCAAGTACAAAGCAATGAAACCGGAGGCACAGCAGCGGTGCGAGGATTCTGATTACTCCCCGTCGCCCTCGCGGACCGTGCCGCGGCACTGTACAGTACCGTGGGCGTGTTACGTGGTTCGCGGACGCGAGTGTGATTGCCACTCGAGTCGCCGCCGTCCTGGCCGGGCCTGCCGGGCCGAACTGTGACGCCGTGTCGCTCTGACGCGCTGCCAGGACACCATTTTCATTTTTATTTCGGCACACGCGACAATGAACTCGGGGCACTCGGGCGCGCGAATAAAGCGTCGGACACACGGCGACGCGGAAGCTGTGACAACCTGCGGGCAGGGCCGCAGTCTCTGTCGCACTCGTGGGGTGGGGCGTGCCGCGAAGGCGAGCGGCAGAGAGAGACGGAGCGACGAGGGGTCGGCAACTCATATATTACTTCGTACACGGTGGCTATAGACACGGGCGAATTACCAACAATATTGATTGTTGATCCAGGCTGGTGCCGCTGGCTGGGGGCCAGTCGCCAGGCCGCCGGGGCCGCGGTGCTTTGGCTGGTCCGTTCAATCAACAAGTACTACCGCGCTCGAACCGGTTCAAGTACAAAGCATGAAACGGACAAGCAGCGGTGCAGTTCTATTCTCCCGTCGCACGGGACCGTGCCGCGGCACTGTATCCGGGGCGTGTTACGTGGTTCGCGGACGCGAGGTGATTGCGGTCGCCCCGCATGGCCGGGCCTGCGGCCGGACACGCCGTGTCGCTCTGAGGCCCAGGACACCTTTCTTTTATTTCGGCACACGCGACAATGACTGGGGCCTCGGTTCCCGCTGCGAATAAAGGTCGGACACACGCGACGGGGAAAGGGCTGCGACAACTGTGGCGGCCGCGCTCTGTCCACTCGGGTTGGGGTGCCGCGAAGGCGAGCGACAACGGACGACGGAACGAAGCTTGGACCCGGGTCGGCGGGGGGAGCGGGCGGGAGCGGGGCGCGGCCCGTCGCCGCGGGCCGCCGGTCGTGGCCGGGTGCGGAGCCGGAAAGGACCGGCGGCCGCCGGCGGCGCGGCGCGGCGTCCTGGGACCGGCTGACGAGCGGAGCAGCGGAGCAGCGTACGCGAAGCGAGGGTGTATTATTGAGCAAAGGGGATGATCGCGGATGATCCTTTCTGGCGGCGAGTTTACGGAAGCGGGGCGGGGCCTGGCGGGGCGGTCCGGCCGGCCTGAAGACAAGACAGTGCAGACGGCGGGCTGGGGCTGGACGGGCAGGACGAGGACTCACATCGAGCGACGCGGCTTTCCTTATTTGTTCCAAGGGGAGGGGGAGGGGGAGGGGAGGGGGCTGGCCGTTTCGGACCCAAGAGAGCGCCACGCGACTCCAGAAAAGCCGCGATGAGAACCCCGGGAGGCAACCCCCTCGGGGCAACCCGGGGGCCTGCACCGTCAAGCAGAAATTTCGTACCGCCAACCACCACACCGTTCTCTCTCTCGCTCTCTCTCTCTCCAGCTCGCTTCTCCTTTGGCCGACTCTTGGCCGGGAAGACTGCAGAGAGGACGCCGCCATGGCCCACTTGGCAACTGCACGCAACAAAGCATTCCACCCCAAATATGATTTCGGCCGCACCACCCTTGTCGCCGCCACCGCCAGCCCCTCGGCCGACCCCGACCTACCCTCTGGCTGCGTCCCCGCCGCATCCTCCGCCACGACGGCCACGACGGCCACGACCACGCACGTCGCCAGCAGGACGGCCGCCGACCACATGCTGGGCTCCAAAACGGCGCAACGACACAACGACGCACCGGCGATGCAGACTCGCCGCTACTGAGGCCTCCGGCCGCCGCACTCCATTTTATAATGTAGCCGCGGGCCATGGGCACTTTAGCGCAAGCGGCGCGGAGGCGAGGCGGCGGAGGCGGCGCGGCCGGCCGGTTGGCTGATATCCGCGACAAACATTGCAGTGGCGGTGCGCGTCACCTGCTTTAAGGTCCTGGGTCGCTGCACTCTCGCACCATGCGCCCGGCCCGGTTTATGAAGGTTTACGAGTCATTCCCAGTGCCAACTACACGGCAGTGTAGCCTCGCGCCTCGCTGCTGGAGTTTTCACAGCATGACAGCGGCTGTGCCGTGCCGCCGTGCCGCGCGGTGCGGTGTCCATGGCATAAGTTGGCGTGTCAGACCCGCTGTCAAAAGTTTTTACCACTACGCCGCGTCGTGTCACCAGCCCTCCGGTGTCACCCCCGCGGCGACAGCCAGCATCAACACGGGGCGTCCCTATGAGGTTCGCGGCCGGGATTTGGCCCATAGAGTCCACAGCCAGCGAGAGGCCGAGTGGCTCCGCGTGGCCAGCTCGCTTCGAGCTCGCCGAGGTTCCTCGCGGGTTTCTTCCGCCCGCAGCCTACTCTGCCTCACACAGTCCACGCGCAGTCGGTCCATCGGGCACCCGCGCGTCCACGCCAGCCGGCCGACTCCGCGCGCATCGCGTTCGTCTCTCTCGCACTCATGGGGCGTCTCGGAGAGGTGCGAGAGAGACAGAGCGCACGTGCTGGCGGCCCCAGGCCAGGCCCAGCCAGGCCCAGCAGATCCATGAAACCGTCCGTGACCCCAGCTGTAGCCCGCCGGCCGGCGTGGGCGTCTGCGTCGTCTACGTGCCGCCATCGCCAACTCGCGGCCGCAAGCAAAGCACGCAAAGCTCGCCGTAACGACAGACCATTCGCTTTGCTGTCTCTCTCGCACCCCGACGGAGCGCCCGGGAGTGCGAGGGAGACACAGCGACGCGGCACCGCTCGGAATGAGCCAAAGGACGCGCCCCGGCGCGCTCAAAGTCCGGGCCGCCGTCGACGCGAGACCCCCGGAGCAGCCCGCACTCCGTGGCCGCCACCGCGGGCCTCAACAGGCCGTCGTCGTGAGGACGCGACATACAGTGGGCCAGATGACCGGTGGAGGCGGACAAAACTCTAGACGCGTTTTGAGCTCCAGAGAAGCTAAACAGGACTCGAACCGAACGTGTGACCCCATCAATGGATTGCTCTCCGAACGAGGAATCCATTGGTGGGGTCACACGTTCCGTTTGAGTCCTGTTTAGCAACTCTGGGGCTTAAAACGCGTCTAGAGTTTTGTCCGCCTCCACCGGTCTTCTGGCCCACTGTGCGCCCCGACGCGCCGCGAGGGGACTCCCCGACGCCGAGTCATTTCTTCCGGTCCAGCCTCGGCGGCGCGGCTCCGCGGCTCCGCGGCGATATCGCTATCGCCTTCAGTAAAATCCACGCGTTGCTCCACCGCGCGCGGATCGCTCGGATACAGCCCCATATCATGCCGGGCTGCTGGCGCGGGCAATTTTTCGTCCGCCGATATCGTGCCCCAGCAGGGCCCAGCAGGGCCCAGCACGCACACTACTCTGGGTTTGAATGTACTAATCAGCTGCGAGGCGCATGGCTGCTAATTGATATGGTTACATAAAGAGGCGCGGCCGGCGCATGGCTCTGTCCCTCTGTGGCCCTCGTGGGCCTGTGTGGTCCATGGCGTACAGTGGGCCAGAAGACCGGTGGAGGCGGACTAAATTCTGACGCGTTTTGAGCTCCAGTGTCGCTAAATAGGTCTCGAACCGAACGTGTGACCCCACCAATGGATTGCTCTCCGAACGAGGAATCCATTAGTGGGGTCACACGTTCGGTTTGAGTCCTGTTTAGTGACTTTGGAGCTCTACACGCGTTTAGAATTTTGGCCGCCCCCACCGGTCTTCTGGTCCACTGTGCGGGTCCTGCGCGTCCAGCAAATTGCTCACCACTCAGGCTGATTCCGAAAGGCGCCTTCGTCGCTCTGTCTCTCTCGCACTCGCTGGGTGCGAGAGAGACAGGGGGATACTGTTCGCACAGCGCGCTGTACGCGAATACAACTCGACGCTGCTCGACGCCCGAAAGCCACCAGATTACTATGGGCCCCATTTCCAACCTGCTCGCGGCACCGGCCGGGGCTTGGGCCGGGGAGTCCCCTTTTCTGACGCCGCTGTTCCAGTTATTGTTGTTTTGATCACCAGTGCGCAAAGGTGGCAGCATTTTTCCTGTCCCTTGATTGCTAGCAGACACTGGGCCAATCTTTTTTTTTTTAAGATAACACCGGCGCCATTGAGGAGTTTCGCGTTTCATTCTTCGCTCACGTCAACTCGAGGGATCTAAATTAATTGAGGTTTTTACGAAATAAGATTAGATTACATGTAGCGAAACCGCCGAAACTACTGGCCTCAGTTTCAAAGGCGAAAGCGTGACGCACTCTTCCTGAAATCAGACTCTGAGCGAGGAATCGAAGTGTCCGCCTCTAAACTGTGCGTCCCGGCACTGCGAAAAGAGGGAGGGAGGGGGAAGAGATGTGCGTGAGGGGCTCCTCGCAGCGCCAGCACACTGCCAGGCCAGCACCAAGTTCGTGCGCCGCGGCACGCATGGCCGCGTAGCTCCGCGTCGCCCCGAAAACTATGATTGACATCTCAACTATGAAGGCGACAGACGCCAATCGGCCGTGCACTGCGACACTCCCGAATTCACTGACGCGAACCTCGCGGCGGTTCCAAAACTGTCTAGGCGTGTTGCGACGCTCGTCGGCGCCCCTCTCGCCCCTCTCGCCCCTCTCGCCCCTCCGGCCCCTCCCGGACGGAGCGAGTCACGGAAGGACGCCGAAGCGCCCCAAAGACCGGGCGCTCGCAAAGTCCATCCGAGCGCGCATGATTATCGAATATAATTAATTGTCTCGCCGAAAGCGGCACCTGAGAGGTAGAGAGGGCCGTGGAGGGAGGGTGCCTCATCCGGCTCGGCTTCGTCGCTTCGGAAACGCGGCCGCCTCTTCAGCGACTTGACACAGCAGCGCGGCGCTGAACCCCCTCAACCGTAACGTATACTTAATACTAAACGTGAATATAGCCATGTCTTAACAACAGCATCTACTGATTGCCTCACTCACGCACCGGAACCGGATTACATTCGCCTGGATTCGAGGCAAATGAAAACACAAGTCGAACGCGCCGCTCATTTCGAACTCGTTTACTTACTGGCAACCGCGGCGAAGCGCAGCACCGCCATCATCCAGTCCATGATGGTCATGTTGGTGGTCCTCGAATCTTCTCCTGCTCCTGTTTCGGTGGCGGCAAGTCCAAGACACGCGCAGCAGCACAGGCAGGGGCGCAGTCTGTCTCGCACTGTCTGTCAACTCGGGATGAGATCTGCTTCTCTTCTAAAGCAAAGACCCGCCCGGTCAACGCCGGTCAGTCTGTCCCCCCTCCCCTCCCCAGCACCACCAACATCGCTTATCGTTTGCAGCCGCCAGGCCGCGCCGTGCCGCGCCCTGCCGCGCCGTGCCGCCACCCCTAGCCCCCTCCTCTCATTTACAGACCACGAGGGAAACGACCAACTGGGGCTGGGGGCTCGGGGGCCCCGCCTGGGAAAAGTCGCCAAGACAGCGGGCAGAACGACGCCCGGGCCGGCGGGCCGTTCCCTCAAATAATTATTCTGGCGCGAGACGCGAGGCTCGAGCTCTCGGACCCCCTTTGCGCTTCACCCTCGCGACTAATGGAAGCAGGCTAAGCGGCAAAGCACGCGCTGCACGCACAGTAAATGTCTTACGGTGAAAGGCTTCACCAACATAATATGGTGGCGATTTTCTCCATAATACCAACGAAATTCGTCAAAATCTCTATAAGGTACAGTGAATTCTCAATGGTATGTTACGAAGTCAGCTGCACCACCATAATATGGAACATTTTCACCATAATGTGGAGAATCTTCACTGTACAACATTTAGAGTGCGGACGGTCGGCCGGCCGCACAGTACGAACCAAGGTACGAACAGCGGGGAAGAGCACGCAGTGCGACAAGGAGGCAGTGACCGCGCGAAGGGCGAAACTACGGAGTAGGCAGCAACTCGAAAATCCGCCCAAGAATCGAGTGCAAAAAGATAGGGAAAAGTGCAAGGCGATGAAATAAAAAGGAGATGAGATTCGGTGTAGGCATTGTGATAGGTGCAAAGACGGTGGTGCCATGGAGAGTGGGGTCAGGCCGGTCAGCCTAGACGCCCCGCCCCGCCCCGCCCCGCCCCGCCCCGCCACGCCCCGCCACGCCCCGCCACGCCTCGCGCTGCACCGCGTTGCCTCAGCATGCAAAGATGCTGTGCGAGGCGCGGGGCCCCCAGCCGGGCCCAGTGCAACCCACGTGGCCCCGGCCAGGCCAGGCCACGCACGGCTCTGGAGATGGGGAGGGAAGGGGGGTGTGTTTGAAAGCCTGGCTTGCTGCTCACACTTTGCGTCCCGGCCGCTCCAGGGGCCGGGTGGAAAGAAACATGGGAGTCCCCGAAGGGTGAGTAAAAATGACCTGGGGGGTTCTTTTGCGGGGCGGGCCGGGGGCCCGGCCGGTGGAGGGGGCCACGAGCTCTGGCGTTTTAACCGAGTGCATGGGACTCGAACCGGCCCGGCCCCCCATGGATGCTGCATGCAAACCATTGATGGGGACCGGCGTGTTGGTCCTTTGCGAGGCGGAGCCGGCGGTTTGTCCGCCTCCGCCGGCTTTGGCCCCCTGTTAAACGCTTCCCGACACCGGCCCCTCCGGCATTAGCGAGGGGGTCGACCCAATAAGGGAATTGGAAGACTTGCCGCCCCGGGCCGCGCGGCGCGCTGTGGCCAGAGTGCCGCCCTGCCCCGCCCCAGGCATGGTCAGGATCCACGGCCACGGGGGTGGTTTTCGAAAGGGACAAAACCACACACACAATTTTTGTTTACGAAGCCGTTTATAACGCGACTTTTTGTCGTGCCGTGCCAATAACAAGTGTGCCTTAGGGAACCGGCGGCTGGTGGGGACCTACGACGGTTAGGTTGGGCCAGTCGTCGCGGCTCTTGGTGATGGGGAGGGAAGCGGTGTGTTTGAAGCCTGGCTTGTTTTGCACATTTAACGTCCACGGCTGGTCCAGGGAGGGATGGTAACGAAAACATGAAGTCCAGAAAGGGTAGAGTCAAAAATGACCTGGTGGAGGATTTTATTTTAGCAAGTTGGCCGGCCAGGCCGGTGGCAGCGGGGCACGAGCGTGGCGTGAACCGTGTGCATGGTGAGCATGCTGCAGAGGCCGGCCCGGCCCGGCCCGGGCATGCATGCATGCATGCATGCATGCTCCGGCGTGTTGGTGTTTGACGGGCGGGGCCGGCGGGGCCGCGCCGTGCCGGTGGCACTGTTATCGCTCCCTCACGCCATCCGGCATTATCGAGCCTTTCCCAATTACGAAATTGGCGACTTGCCGCCACGCCGCTGCGCGCCTGTAGCCAGAGTAGCCCCGCCCCGCCCCGCCCCGCCCCGCCCCGATCCACCGGCCACGCGTGGTTTGACCTGCCGGCCGCGCCCCGCGATGAAATGCCGCGCGCCGTGTCCGTGTCCGCTGTGTGCTTCACGAAAAAACAAAAGACATTGTTGTGGTGATCAGCGCTGCTCGATAGGCTGAATCCGATAGCCGCAATCGAAAATCCATACCTACAACCAAAAGCTGGTTGCTACGTATATGACTGCAACATTTGGCTAGTCTTTTCACGTACAGGTGTCATTCATGTTTTCGTTCAAAAATAAATTATTTCAAACTCGGGTCTAAGTCTTTGCCTTTACATGGACTGTATTTCCTTCATCAAAAGCCAATCTTTTGACTTTAGCCCCACAGAAGGGGGCACGCCGCCGTACTTCCCAGAGCCCTGGTGGAGGCGCTAGTCCACCCCTGGGGATTAGCGATCAATGTTGAGGTACCACGCCGGGCCGCCCTCGAGAACCATTTTTGGCATCGAGAAAGTTCAGAGCTTATCTCCTGAGGGAGCCAGCCCAGCCCAGCCCAGCCTGGTGAGGCATGGCGTTTCTTCACGGCTCTCTCTCACATTTTGGCGTTTGAAACGGCCAAACGAAGAGCGGACGGTACGGTGACCCTATCGGCTTATCAACGTCCGTGTGAATAATAACAAATATGGTGTGATAGATGGGGGACGATAAGTATTGCTTGCCAAAGCAACCCACCTCCTGGTTTAATTCGATGTGATGATGCATCAAGGAAAATAAATATTGATGGTTTGGGAACACAGTTTTTGTAATTTATTAAAAATCAATAATTATTATACACAAAGATAATACAATTAGCTTTCTCTTTATCTCTCACATTTCTTTCTTTACAATTGTAGCTTGCAAAAGTAACACAGCCACAGCGGAGAGGGAACAGCAGCTGGGGTTGGATCCACGCAATATCTTTACAAAAATATCTTTAAAGTCACTTTACAATAATGTGGGCATATCACTAAACTTTCATTTATACACAATAAGTCCAACTGTTATCTTGTCCTATCTGTTCTGCTGCTTAACAAACAAAACAGAGCGTTGTCTCATAAAATTTCTTCAAGTTCCCACATGAAACAAAACAATATTTCCTTGTAAAAATCCAACCACCTACCATCTCGGACGTAAAAAAAAGTGAAACAATCTGTACATAATTTACACTGACATGCTTTGGTTTATAACAATGCTACACATGGTTTATCTGTGCAATCAGCGTGAAAAGGTTCACCTTTTTTATGACCAATCACAGCAATTGCACATCACAAGTCACTCTTATCAGTTTCCATTCATTCATCACATTGTCTTTCATCCAGTAACAAATTGCTCTCACATTCGGATATTCAGACACAGACACACAGAGTCACACACACAAACACACACTGACTGTCACAACCGCACAACTGTAACTGATTTCATTTGGTGACTCACAGACATTAACAATCACAAACATAATTCATTCACACAAAATAAGATGCACTCACTGATCCACACACCTCATCAGCCACAATAAAGAGTTCAACACCATCCATTCACTCTCCGTTACACATTAAATGCTGTGAAAGCATTATTCCATCATTTCTTTTACTGTACTTATAAAACAAGATGGGGGCAATATCCCACATTTTCCATGTACGTATGATTGAAAAAATAATTAAACAAAACAAGTGTGCCTATGTAACACAATGATAACACGTTAGTTTTGTACTTCATCATCACATATGAACAGCAATGGAGCAGGGAGAACAATCAGTAACAAACGGCGGGCGGCGCCTGTCCGACTAGCGGCTAGCGGTGCAGGACTCTATGCTAACACAATGAAACGCCGCGCAGCGCAGAGCGGCGCAGAGCAGCGCAGCGCCCAACACCACCCAGACCCGCAACAAACCAAGGATTGGAAGACTACAAAAGCTACATGCAAGACAGAGTAACAAAGGAGAAACCAAACACTTTAAAAGAGAAACAATAAAATTTAACTTCTCCAACAACATATACTTTAATTAAACATAAATAGGTGCAATACTTTGAGAGAAATGCAGTTTTCTTTAACACGCGGCTGCATTCTCAACGGAATGGACCTGCATGAGATTAAAATGAGAGGACAGCTGTGATTCATTCCAATGCTTCTATAATTACAATATAAATACCAACAAGATGATAATCACACAGCTATCTCTCATCTTACACCACACAGACTGGCTGATCAACTATCTTGCTGAGTGAGAAACCCAGTATAACAAAATTATTTAAACAGATTTAACAAATTTTGCTTTCTGTACATAAAAATATATATCAATATATATATTTTTATTAAACATCTATATATATAATATAAGTAATATGTAAATATCTCAAATTTCTGCAAATATTGGACTAATAAAATGACTGTGCTCAAAATTCCAGAATGTCGTCAATTTAGAATTGTAAAAATAGTACTTTTGCAATAACAATAATTAAAATTTTAGTTTCTTGATCCAAAGGCGCTGAACTACAGAAAATACACAAGAATAAGAAGCTATAGTGCTATTTATCAGTCAAAATAATTGCTTTTACAAAAACTACAATGGTTTGAGGTTGAAATGGAACTGTTTGGCAGCATTTCTCCCATATGGGCCACAGACTGCACACACCTATATTTAGCAAAATAGAATTACAATAATCCATCTAGTTGTATAGGGAAAAAATTGTCACAAAATTTAAATTTCATCTCATCTTCTTGGTTCACCTGACCTGCGTAATTTCTAATAGAATCTCATTCACATCTAATAGAATTTAATACATACAAAAGTTATATACCTCTCAATTTGAAACATTGAAATATAAGTGAGTCGGCAACTATTTTGAGCACAACAAACAAAGTGGTGCAGTCTGTGAAGCCCAGTCTGGGCTGGCTAATTGACACGTCCTGGGCACGGGCAGGACGAGGGGGTGGAAACTACACAACAATATCAGCCTTAGCTCCATTCCGCTCGGTTCCATCTATATTCAAAACTCACTAGCCACTCGACTGGTCCCCAAGGCTGCCTGGCCTGCGCTCCGTCAGGTAATGTATAAATACTTAAATATATTCTTTTTAATTAGCGATTTTTAAAAATAGGTTTGTTCACATAATTTCACCTCAACGCTTGGATGTAGTAAAGATAAAAAAATAATAAAAAAGTGTAGCATTAAAAGTCATTTAAGAAGTTGATTTTACATTCACAGAGCATATCACAAGTGGTATGGACGCCTCTGACCAACCCACTGCAACCATTTGGAGTTCTGGCTAGAGTAGCTCCTCCAGAGGCGCTCGTACCATTCTCTCCGCAACACTACGCACAACACTTGCCCAAGCCAACGCCACAACACTGACTTGTGGCATCAACATGTCTTGAGTATCTTGTCATTCTCTTTTGGTATACAAATATTAAAAACAATAATATTATGCAAATTTAATTTTTACATACATTATGCTTAGGTTACTTAAAAAACATCATAAATTTTAGAAATAAAAACAAGTAACTTCTTAATCAATGCACTTTCAAGTAAACAATAATATAATGTCCCAGCAGCTAATCAAACAGTTTGAGCAACAGAGGAACTGAACTCTTCTTAGCCACTCAACACAACCCTGCAATAACAACACGGAATGCTGAAGAGGGCACTCCACAGTCTTCTTCCACAATGAGCAAGCCCCTATCCAACAGTTCTGCTGCTCAAGACTCAGACAGCAGCTTCTCTAATAACGATGACTTCTGGTCCCCACCGGCTCGAGACGGATCTTCCATGTTATTCTGAAACAATTTAAGAAAATAAGATAAGAATGGATGAATGTTAATGGATACCAATACACAACTTAAGGTAACTATTAAGTTTACTCACTCTGGCAAGGGTAGACTGAGGTGAAACAGCCCCCATGTCAGGGCCTCCTAAATTAACCCACGCCTTTGGTCCGTCACCACTGCCACCTAAAACAACAAAACTTATTGTAAAAATTGACAACAATACTCACTATAAAAGTACAGAGCTCCAATAAATAGGAAAGCAATTTAAGAAAGACAGAGCTTAGTACCTGATGATGACATTTCATAGTTGAGGCCAAGTGAGGTGAGATCAGGTTGTTGCTGTTGCTGCTGCATTGTCATTCCCATGTGTTGTTGTGGGTTTCTAGGGCTGCCCTGCTGCTGCATTCGAGCACCAACAGTAGCACGGAGTTCCTGTTTCACGAACTCTGATGCTGCCATATTGTTATTACCCGCACCTGTCATCATAAAAACATCATTATACACACATGCATAGGAAAGGAAAAATAAGTGCCCTATTATTGAGGGAAATACTAGCAAAGGTGCTTGAACTAAAATATAATTTCAAGGCTCAAAACTGATAGTGGAAATCTGATTGGGTGATATATAATTTAGAGCTAAACTGAGCCTGAAATAAGTGATAATGGTTGCTAAATGTTAATCCTGATGAACATGTGCGGACTTCTGTGCTAATGACATACATATATACATAACATTAAAGCTAAACACATAAACATTCAAATGAAACTACACTACGATTACAGTCCCATCCACTCAATGAAAATTAAGTTTAGGAAAAGGAAATATAAAGCATGTTCATTCTGGAAATTAGAATGAAACACTGAAAGCACGAGATTCCAGCGCCATCTTTCAGCAGACATCTGCAGTTTTCCTGTATAACTGATTCCCCACAACATACATGCAACTTTGCTACAAACAGGATTGACCCAAGATGATGCAAGATATCAGAGTTCTGCAATGGGCGAACGGTCTCTACCCGTTGGCTCACGTGCCGCTCGCTATACTGAGCCCGGCCCAACCCCGGCTGCAGGCTGCGCGGCCACGGGTAGGTGGCTGGCCACCCGGCCCGACATTCTGAGCGGGTGGACCGGGCTACCGCCTAACTCTGCCGATAACGATAACGACACTACCACCTTGTATCCATCGACTAATTATCGCTCTCTCTCGCACAGGTACAGACCGCCCCCGCCCATTGCAGAACCCTGCAAGAAATTCTCACATGAAAACAAACTATGGAAGGAGTATCATAACATGAAGTAGACAAGGAAAAAGAGAGAGGGAGAGAAAAAAAAAAGAGATGGGAGTTTAACTGTAATCGCAGCAAGGATCATATCCCTGAAAGCACCAACAGGATAACATAAAATACTGCAGGTTAAAACATCTGGCCCACCAGGGAAAATTAGCACAGCAAGCCGTGAAAGAAGCCAAGAAGCTGTGCCACATTCACAACTTGAGTGTCTCACAGCCATTAAATCTCTCAACAGTCATTTTTTGCTTGGCAACAAGGCCTGTGCAAGTCAAGTGATGTCAGAGTATCGGCCATGTGCATTTAAGACAAAATTTAGGCCACAAGCAATCGATAAGAATCATACAATGAATTAAATTGAAAAATAAATAAAACAAAGCCAAAGCCAAAATAATATAATGGAAGGCACATTAGTTATTTTAAAAGTCAACCAAAGGTCAAAAACATACAAAACAATTCAACTAAAATTTTTAGTAATAAGAATATTACAGCGAAGAGCTTGAATAAATGTGATATTCCTTTCAAAATAGGACTTCATAACTTATTTAAGAGATGAAATGAGAGGAAAAGAAAATTACAGCAGATTATGAAACCCAACTAGCTACACAGTTCTTTACAGACCAGACCCAGAATGACACAAACTACATGACCGTACTGTGGCCTCAAAGAATTTCTGTGGCTTCCATTTTGCAAACAATTATGTCTGCGTATAGACCGAGTTGCAACAAGCACTGAGAGTATGGCTAAAAGGTCGTGCAGAATCCTAGCCCACAAAGTGCACCAACATGAAATAAATTAGGGAGGGGGAGGGGCCTCGTCTCGCCACAACATTTACTACCCCAACATAAACACTACATGCACAGGTTTAAACTTCCATAAATTCTGAATGTTTTTCCAAGCCAGGTAACACACAGCCCGTTCCGAACAGTCACTGGATTTTCATGCTAGAGGAACACTTAAAACCCTGAAATAAATACGGGAAGGAATTGAATGGTATAATAACAGGAGACAAAGACCCTGCAGGCAACATGCATGAAATGTGGCGAGACAGGCCAGGCCAGGGCGGGCAGGCGAGCGGATGGGCCACCAACAGTGTGCAGGGACTGGAACACAACAACATAGGACACACTACCAAGTGCCGCTTCATCCCTCCTACAAAAAAAAAAACTGGGAAAAGGGGAAGGGAGGGACAGGGAAATTGGGTACACAGATAAACAAACATGCGAAACATCAACCACGGGGATTAAGAAAGAAAGAACCATGTGGTGGCCAGAAGCCTGCGACACGACTGAAAGCGACTCCTACTGCATTTTTGTTAATGAATCTTGTCACTTTATGGCTTTGAAAAGAATGTATTAATCGGTAGGCAAAAATAATTAAAGCAGGTAGCTGCATTTGATTTTTCAAAAAAAAAAAAAAAAAAGAAAAAAGTCAAATAAAAGCCTACATTTTAAGTCTTGAAGTCCTAGTTGGTCTTGGACTATGTACAGTGCTGAGTCCGTCGGGTGGTAGTGTCCCCTGGCCCCTGGCCCACTGCGTGGCGTGGCGTCGTGTCGCTTAGCTGCTCTCGCTAGCGGGTGCGGAACAAGCACATACAACACATAAAGCTTAGGACACGGGGCGTGCAGGCTGACGAGACCAAAACGAAACGAGCATCGGGGCGGAGCCAGGCCGGAGCGGAGCGGGAGGGGCGGAGAACACGGGGCAAGGCGGCAGGGGGTGGAAAGTCTGGGCAAGGCGGCAGGGGGGCAGGGCGGTGGAAAGTCTGGTCAGGATCTGGTCAGGTAGAAGGGCAGGGCGGATGGAGAGAGGGCCGACTTACCGCCGGTTGGCTGCGCGGCGGTACCGGGACCTGGCCGGCCTGGCGGGCCTGGCGGGCCCCGGTCGCTGGACCCATACATTTGTAAACTTGACTGATCATACGGTAAGAACTGCGAGTCGGGGGTGGAGGGAGGGTGGGGGTGGGGGTGAGGGTACATCATATGGTGCGGGGGGTGATGTTGGAAGGGGTGCTGGGAAGGGTGGGAGGGGTGAGCTGGTTGGGAAGGGTGGGAGGGATGGGAAGGGTGTTGTTGGTGATGGAGGGGGTGATGGGGTGGGGGTTGGGACAGGGGGACGTCGGGGGGGTGGTCCTTCAGCCCGTAATGCCATTGAGAGCCTGCTGAACCTGCAACAGGCATAATCAAAAAGAGGCCAGTGTCAGTCACTGGCATCCACGCATCCAACATGTATTGGAAACCGGAGAGCATCCAAGATGTATCCAACAAGTATCCGGGACGAGGGCGTGGCTTGAGACTTGAGGCACTGGGGCACTCCAGCTAGAAATAGAACGAGGGATGGGGAAGACAAATCGGGTGGGGTCTAATCAGCAGGCACCACGAACTTGACCGGACCGCCGGCTGCTTGGCAAATTTAAACAGATACACAGAGTGACTACGTCAGTCTTAAAAAGTTAATATCATACGCATCTGAAAAAAAATGTCTCTAATTAAAACTGTTAATTGAATTATTATTTTATGGTATGTCTATAGGGTTTGAGAGACAAAGAAAATGAAGAAAGAGAAGAAACTAGCCATGATAGACCTAAGTAGCACAACAAATTGTTTCTTGATGTAGAGTTAAATGCCTAATATGCCAATAATTAATTCATCTACCCATCATCCATCACACTGCATGTCACTCACCAGGAAGTTGATTGTTGGTACTAGGTGCACTCATAGTGCGAAGCAACCTCTGCTGGTAAGATTGGTAAGAAGCTGCATTTGGTGATGACGGTGGCTGGAAGCCATCAGGGGGGAATGGTGACTGTCTCGTTGAGCCAGGCGTTCCAGGACTAGGCATTGACCTCAAGCCCGCCATCTGGGCTTGTTGTTGCTGCTGTTGCGCTTGCTGCTGTTGTTGTTGCTGCTGCTGTTGCTGCACCTGCTGCTGCTGTGCTTGCTGTTGTTGCTGAGGCGTTCTTACTTGGTTGACGAACATTCTCCCAGTTCCAACATAACCAGCCTGCTGGATCAAAAATGATACCATTCACCATGAGTAACTATAAAAATTTGCACAAGTGAAGAAAGCATCCATGTGCTAATATTGTCATACCTGCTGAGCCATGTTTGGGTATCCAGGCTGTTGGACTTGCGCAATGCGAGGTGACAATTGTGACTGTTGAAATGATGCTATACTGCTTGCAGGTAAGGGGGATAACCTTGACTGCGGAGCCTGAACACCACCTTGCACACCAACTCCTTGGCCTTGAAGGCCACCGGGACCTTGAGCTCCATTCCCAAAACTATTGCAAGACAGTACAAAAAATTAAAACAAAAGTACAGGTGAAAACACATAACATAAAACCTGAAGAGTCTTACCCAATAGATGAGAAGCCTTGCTGCTGCTGGCCATGAGGAGAATACGGCTGGCCCAAACGCTGGGCAGCATTCTGTTGCATTGCTACATTTTGCTGCATTGCTGCATTTTGCTGCATTGCCGCATTTTGTTGCATTGCAGCATTTTGTTGCATTGCAGCATTCTGTTGCATTGCTGCATTTTGTTGCATTGCAGCATTTTGCTGCATTACAGCATTCTGCTGCATTGCTGCATTCTGCTGCATTTGATTATTATAACTAGGGGATAGTTGGGAGTCGGGTATGCTAGCCGACCTCTGTAAGAAAGAAAAAAAAGTTTCAATATTAATAAAAGTTCAATAGAGTTTAAGATTCTGTACTGAAAAAATAAAAACTTACTTGTAAGGTAACATTTGGTGCCACAGCATCATTGAGCAAACTACCTATATTCTGCAAACCAGGTTGCAACTGGTCATTAGTTGCATTGGAAGATATGACAATCTGCTGCTGTTGCTGCTGAAGTAACCTATTCCGCTCCTGTTGAGCCTGTTTCTGTTGCTGCTGATGCAGCAACTTATTTCTTTGAATATTCTGCATACTCTGAAAATGTCCAAATAAATGGTCGGGTTATGATTTATAAGACACAGTATCTGTTTCTGGTCAAAGACACGATCTTTACCTGGGCTCCCAAAGCGTTGCCTTGCATAGGGTATTGAGGTGCAGCTGGTCTCATTCCAGCCTGCTGCTGCTGCTGCTGCTGCTGTTGTTGCTGCTGCTGTTGCTGCTGCTGAGGCATTGTAAACCTTTGCTGCGGCCTCTGATACACAGGGGGAGGAGCTGCAAAACCGGACTGCCCCTGTAGATGATAGAAAAGGGTTAGGGTTTCCTTCCAACTTTTTCTTCCAAAATTTTCTCAAAAACAATCTTTTTTAAAAATTGTGATTAACATACAGAGAGAGAACTGTAGGCGGGAGGTGTGCCAGGTCCAATGGTTGGTGAGGAAGGGCTTTTGACAACATTCTCACACAGCATTAGACTTTTCTGGATAGCACTAATAGCCCTCTTCTCTTGTTCAGAGACTGGGTTTGACCCGCCTTGAGGCTGTGAGTCTAACAGTTCATCAAGGACATTGACAACAGATGTAGATTCTGTGGACAAAATAAGAGACATTAATTTCTGAATGTAGAGCAAATTGTAAGACACATGTTAATTATTTAAAAAAAAAAACAAAAAACATAAAGAAAAAACCAACAACACAAAAACACACCTCCATCTGGAACTATGTCAATAACTGAGTCCAGAATTAATGACAGATAGGGGTCGGATGATTCTCCCCAAAGGTTAGAGTCTGGAGCCTGAGAACCCCCAGACCCTCCTCCTGGACCGCTTCCTGGACCGGGACCACCAACACCAGTCCACTGCTGCTGCTGCTGCTGCTGTTGCTGTTGTTGCAGCTGCTGCTGCTGCAGTTGGTGCTGCTAGTAAAAAAACAGAAGAAAGAAAAAAAATTAGTAAAATTAGACACAAAACTCACATTGTAAGAAGTGAAAATGAGCAACCCTCATACCTGAGCTTGCATTTGAGCCTTTTGTAACTGCTGCTGATGAAGCTGCTGGTCCTGATGGCTCATCATATTATGTCTAATTTGCGCAGCTTGAGCTTGTCTGGCCGCCTGGCCTGGTAGGCGTGGCTGAGAGGTATTTGCGGTTGAGGAAGGAGGCTGGATAGATCCACCTGACCAAACTGATGACAAGATAACAAAACATAGGGTTTTAAAACACATTCAATAATTTACTTATTTACTTTGCTGACAGTAAATTTCTTATATTTTGCATCGCTTATTTTGGTTTTGTTGATTACATACCATTTTGTGGTGGTTTATGCCTATCTGCCACCCTGGAGAGCTTATCTTGAGGTGTAGCCGAGATGATGGAAGCTGGCACAGGAGGTATCACAGCTGGTTGGGAAGGTGGTTTGGCCAGCAGATTCGCCAGCATTTTGTTCTTTTCCCACAACCTGCTGTTTGTTCCCCCGGGGCCCCCTTGTCCGGGGGCAGATGCTGGAGGCCCAGAAGAACTCACATGTTCCATGCCACCCGGCCCACTCATACCAGGACCCGAACCTGGTCTCTTGACAGGCCCATGGAAGTCACCATCGGACTCGTCACTAGGCCTTTTGCGAGTGGCATTGAGAGAGGCAGGTCCTCCAGTGGGACCTGCAGCTCCCTGCGGCGAGTGCAACAAAAGGCCTAGGCTACTAAGAATAGTGTCCTGACCTTCTGCAGGCTTACGATCTTCGTCCTCCTTTAAAAGTTGCTGCAGGAGCTCATTTGGCTTCTTAATACCCACTCTTGCTTCCACTTCATCATCATTATTCTTCACATTTAGCAACTGCAATTTTTTTTGAAAATTAAAAAAATTAATGGTCTTTAATGTTTAAAGAAAAGACAAATCAGATCAAAATTTACCTTGAGCAACATGTTGTTGTTATTAGTTTTTGGTTGTTCTCGGGTAGAAGCTGCTGGACTCATCCTGCTGCGTTCCTCTCTATCCTCTTGATTTAACAAACCTATAAGGATGCGATCTTTACTACGAGCTTCTTCATCAAGTCCACTATCACCATTATCACCACTGCTACTTGTTGGCTGGCTAAGAAGGTTTCTTAACCGACCTGATTCACCCCCAGCGTTTCCACTGTCCACTAAACCCTCTTTTGAGTCCTTGCTGTCATCTTGTGTAAATTCATTAAAAGTACTATTATAAGGACTGGGTGCAGCAGACGTGCTTGGAGGACGAGGCGTCTGAGGGGTGGCAGATGATCCGTCTCCGTCCAGGTGGTTCCAACTTGAACTTGGAAACAGTTCACTCAACATATCACTATTTGAATTGAAGTTTAATGAAGGTGGAGAGGCATTAGCATTGATTGTGTCCACATTTGATGCTGGAGTAAATGAGGCACTAGCTCGTTGGTGCACCTGCCCATTGACATTTGTAGAGAACATGAGCGGACCGCCAACAGTGCTGGCTGGACTTCCACTAGGGTTTGGTCCAATTGCTAGAGCACGTGGTGACGCCCCCTCTACACCAACACTATTATAATTTGAATCGTCCCTAAAACAAAATAAAAAGGGAATGATTACAACATCTGCAACAAAGGTAACCTATGCAACAAACAAAACAAGCAAAAGAGTATTTAACTTACTGAACGATTGTGTGAATAGAATTTATAAAATCTTTGTTTAGCAGGTCAGGATCTGTATTCTTGTTTTCAAAATATATAGATTGTACATCAACTTTCACAAACTTTTCAGGATTGTCGATTTTGAAACGATACTGAATCTTTGCAGAATGTCGATTAGGACTAGCAATAGTATCTTTGAAATGTTCTAGTAACCTTGGTAAATCTGCGGGGTGACATAAGTCCTGAACTGTCTTTCCACTATAACTCTGAAATCAGAAAACAAATAGGAAGTTAGAACACTTTGTTTTCCTCGAGTCTAACTATATTGACATCATTTATGTAGCGTCAAATTACCTTTTTAATATAAGATTGGTAAAAAGGATCAATATTACCAGTGTCAATATCCAAAATTGTTTGATTAGTACTAAATCTTATGGTAAACACTTCTTCAGATAACCTCGGGGTTTGTGGCATTCTTTTCGCAAGACACAGCAATGCGTCTAACGACTCAGGATCTCCACCTTGCGATATCAACCTTGAGGTGATACTAATGTACTCATACTCGGAGACACGTTGTTGCTTCTTTTCCATAGTCTCATCTTGATCATCGGGCTTTACCAGAAAGCGGATGCACAGCTTGTTCTTCGTTTGCTGCCCTTGTAATTGCTGAGACCCACTGTTCCCCGAAGATGCTATGGGGGAGAAGAGCCTCGCAGAGAATCGGTCATGGTCGCCATGATGGATGAAGTTATAGATGCTTTGGCCTACGACTTCATCTTTCATGTAGTGGGTGAATTTTGCTATACCATCTGTGGCATCTGTCACATTCCCATCTTTGTTGACAATGAACACGAAGGCATCATCAATGGCATCTACCACAAGTGAGCCGATGACATCATGGCCTTGGTAATGAGGCCTTGAGTTTGTGGAAGATACATCACCCTGCTGTACAGCATTGTAGGACCCATTAATTCTCTGGATTTCGTCTAGGGCACCACTAAGGATGGCAGTCCTGTCGGGCTTCACCACCCCAACATTGATGTCTCGACCAGAGATGTTTCTTAACTTGGCGAGCTCGTCAATGTGGGATCCCTCCTGTTCTCTTCGGTGTTTTTCATTCACTTTCTTGCTTCTGCAACAGAAAAGAAACGCACTGGTTAGATCAGCATTCACTCCACCACGCAAGAGCATGGGGCACGCACCGGCCACCCCCCGAACCGCCTTCCCCCTTGCGGCTCGAAGCCACCGACGGGCAAAATGCACCGCGCCGCCTGCTGCGCATGCCGCGCACGCTGCCACGCCATGTCGCCATGCAACATTGAGCAGTCGCAACTCGCAGCCCTCCAGCCCTGCCCTGCCCTGCGCCCTGCAGCGCGCTGCACGCACACATGTAAACAAACAGCTCCGCGGGGGCGGGGCCGCGGCGCGGCGGGCGGCCGGGCCACCACGTGGGAAGGAGTTGGCTGCGCGTGCCACGCCGTGTCGCGCCGTGCCGCACCGCGCCGCACCGCGCCCAGCTTGGCCTGGCGCTAGCCTTGACGCAGGTCGTCGGCCGCCGCGCTTGCCGCGCTGCCGCTTGCCGCACCGCGTCCTGCTGCTGCTGCGCCGCGCGGCATGGCCTGGGCATGGCATGGCGGCAAGCGGCCCCGCGACGCGGCGGCCGCGGCCCCAGCGCGAGGTACACGAAGGGGGAGGGGGGCACCCCACCCCCTTTCCCCCTTCACCGCCGCTGCCGCACCGCGTCACGTCACGCGCCTCGCGCTTTGACCACTGCTGCTGCGCCGCGCCGCACCGCGCCGCGCGGCCAGAGAGGCTACACGACGACCGCCAAGGACGGTGAGGGGCAGGGGCGGGCAGGGGCGGCAAGGGGAAGGGGCCGGTGGGGCCCTGTTCGGGGCGCGGCGTGACGCAGCGCGCAGCACAACACCGCGAGCGGAGGCCAGGCCAGCGAGCGTCCCGCCGACCCGCCACCGGCCGCACTACGCAGCGCTACGCAGCGCGCGTCACCCATCGGATGCGGCACAAACCCATCCCATAACGTGCTGGGCGACGCGCGGCTAACCCTCAAGGCGGAGTCCCAGATCCAGTTCTAGTCGGCAAACGCAAGCAGGCCGCCAAGCGCCGTGCGGGTAGGCAACCCGCGCGCAGCCAGGCGCGGCGATGCTCGCGGTTGCCTACCCGCACGGCGCTAGCCCGCGTCCCGCGTCCCCACGGACTTGAAGGCAAAGGGCTCTCCGAAGCGCTCTGAAGTGGGCGGCGAGGGGGCGGCAGCGCAAGGGCTCGCTCCGCTCTGCTCCGCCCCGCCGCGGCCCCCTCCCCCTTCGCCCGGAGTCACAACGCCCTAAGGGCTGCGCGCTGCGCGGGATGCGAGTGGAGGGGGCTGTAGGGGGCGGCCTGGCGAGTGGCCTCCCGAGGGGTCACGAACTCCAGCGGTGCCGAGCGGAGCGCCATGGAAACGTCCGCAGACGCCAACGCCTCGGCCCTTACCCCGGCCGGGCCAGGCCGGTCCTTGGGTCCTTCAACCCCTGCCGGCGTGCCGCCCTGCCGCGGCGCTAACACCGCTACTCCGAGCGACAACCCCCGGCCTCGCCATCCCGGCCAAACGCGCAAACACGCCAAATCAAGGCCCCGCTAATCCACACACGCCAAGTACCCCGAGCGAGCGCCTGCCGCGCCAGCACCCCGAGGTCCTAGAGCTCGCCGGCCGCCCCGGCGGGGCCCCGGCGGGGGTCAGTGCCACGCGGGGCCAGGCCGAGGGCCGCGAGGGCCGTGCGGTTCCGTAGCTCTGTCTCCCTCGCACCCCTTGGGGGCCCAACAGGGCGACGACGCGACTCTGCGAAACGCAGTCTGCTGACGCCGTTCTCGCTTCGTTTCCCGATCGCCAGCGGTACCGAGCTACCCGGCGCGGCGCGGCGCGGCACCCAGCGGCGGTGTAACACGGTGTGGTCGCCGTCCGTTGTGTTTGGTTGTGCAACGCCACGCCGCAGCGGCGCGGCAGGACGGGGCTGCTTTTTTCGGCGACTGGTCCAGCGGGGGCCTGTGCCTGTGGGCCGGTGGGCCCCGCCCTGCCACGGCTGTGCCACGGCCCGCCGATACGAGAGAGAGACTAAAAGACCAGCCGGGACCGGATATTGGCGGGCCGCTGGGCCGCTGGCTTATGGGGCAGCTCCGAGCAGCTCGGCGAATGGCCAAATAAGACAATGCGCCCGGCGAAACCAAACAAGACAAACAAAAGAAATTTCGGCTACATCCGCACAAGGCCTTGGAGCACCACACTAGTCAAATTACGTTCGCACAAGGGCCTTAATTACAGTGCGGCGGTGCGGCGCCCCCATTCATGAAAAACTTGAAATTTTTCCCAGCGTCGTGCGGTGTAGTAACAGCAGCGTGGCAACGCGCAATGGGCTGCCCATGAAGCGCCGCGGTAGAGCAACAAAACAAGCCAGTGTAGTGTAGTGGCTCGCTGACATACTTACAGTGATTGGTTGGTGTTGGATTTGCTGTCCGTTACTTTTTTCCGTCTTTTCGGGGGGCTTTTGGGGTTGCCGCTGCCGGTGACAGCGTTCATTTTACCGCCACCCCAGTCCTGCAGCTCACACGGGCCGAGCCTGCGAACAGAGCGGAGAAAGAGAGGTAAATAAAAGCACGTTTTGTTGTGGGCCAGTGTGCGGACAGTGCTGCCCTCTACAGGTGCGGCGATAACGGCCGGCCGCGATAGCAAGAAGACGGTCCAGGTGGCGGCGATAGGGCGCATCCCGGTGCCTGCCAGCCCCGCCAAATTTCGCACATTCGTGCCCATTCACAAACACAGAACACGTCTCGCACAACACGTTGTAAACCACGGAACAAACAGCAAAAACTCTTCCCCATGTTCGCGACAATGCTCTAGGGTTTCAATGGGAGCGGAGCCGGCCAGCCAGGCACAAAACGCAGGGGCAGACAAATGAATGGAGACGAACGACACGCGGAGATGAAATGAATCGAAACGAAACGAGATGAATACTAGCGGGGAGGCCTAGAGAGAGACGGAAAACAGACAAACGATAACAGCGAAAATGACCTGGACGATTCCACCAGGTTCCACCTCCCTCCACCGGGTGCGCCACGCCGCCGCGCCAGTCTCTTTATTAGCGGGCCGCGCGGCTACGCCGGGCTACGCCGGGCTACGCGGGCCCCGTGTGTTGCCGAGCCGATCCGCGCCGTCCCCGCCACTCGGCCATAACCTAACCTAACGCTGCGCGCCGCGCCTAGACACACACTCTCACACACACATACGGAGAGAATAACGCGATAAAAACGGCGGGGCCGGCCGGGGCCGCGACTCGTCACACGAACATCGCCACGCCGCGCTATCATCATCGAGCCAGCCCAGCCTGGCCCAGCCATGCCCAAGAATCGTTCTCTCTCTCTCTCTCGCCCCCTGGGCCGCTGTACGCCGCGACGCCCCGCGACGCCGGACGCCCGCGACGCCGCGATGCGAGGAGACGGCGAGTCAGCTGCACGGCAGGCAGGCTCGGTAATCGCGGGGACACCTGGGGGACACCGCCACCGCCGCGGACTCGGACGCGACTCGGAGCAGCGCACTGGCACACTCTTTCCCCGCGCCGCGCCGCGACGGCCTCAAGTAGTTCTCATGTGCGAGACGGCCTTTTCCTCACCTCGGCTGCCTGCGCTGGCTGTGCTCCCACTGCTTTCTTTCGTCTATCTATTCTTTCTTCTCTCTGCTCGCTCGATACTTATTTTTTCCGGCCCACTTTATTGCACCCCCTTTTGACGTGTTGTCGACAGCAACGGACTTTCGATCATCTGCATTCCCATTCCCGCCAGGGCGGCACGCTCGCCCGCCGGAGGGCGGTGGACCTTTTGAGGGACTTTGCCTAACTTCGGGTGGACGCCAAAACCTGCCTCAAAACTACACCTTTTGGGGTCCTTCGGGGGGGGCGATCGCCCCCTCCGCCCCCCCCTTGTGCACGCCCGTGTTCCCGCCCACGCCCGCCTTTCATCTGCATGACAGCGCGGCCAAGCGGGGCGAAGCGGGCCGAAGCGCGAGGCGGACACGTCCGCGGTGACACGTCCCGCGGACACGTCGCCGACACGTCGCCGACACGACGCCGACACGTCACCGACACGTCACGCGTGTGACACGTCACCGACACGTCACCGACATGTCACCGACACGTCACCGACACGTCACTGACACGTCACCGACACGTCACCGACACGTCGCCGACACGTCGCCGACACGTCGCCGACACGTCACCGACACGTCACCGACACGTCACCGACACGACGCAGACACGACGCCGACGTCACCGACACGTCCGCAGGAACGACGGTCATTTGGCCCGGCAAACGGCGTCACCGCGTCAAACCAGTGGCAAGCTAAGACACGCCGAACAGGTTCACGCCACGTCACTGGAAGCGAACATGGAGCCAAGGCATTCATTTGTCACGCGAGGAAACTGGGGCCTTTTCTGCAGAAGGTGGAAGGAAAAACCGTGTTACTGGAACGTTCTCTGGAGGGGCTGCTCCCTGTTTATATCATTTACATTGCATCTAATTGGCGGCACGTTCGGGTCGAAGGCCGTGCCTGCAGTGTGCCTGCAGGTTGCAGGGGCAGCAGGCCCTTTCATTAGCATAGCAAGGGGCCAGAGTAAATAGGCAAGGCGGCACCCTCATGCAGCCGGGGCTTGGGACGGTCCAAACGGGGCAATAACGAGGCAGCGGCCCGCCGGTGTGCTTCGTGCACTTCGTGCTTCGTCACGGACCCACTACAGAACAATGCTGGATAACAAAACGGCGCCCGTCTCTGCCTGCTGCCTGCCCTGCCTGCCCTCGCTGCGCGTCAAGGACACAAATGGGTTGGCCGTCGGCGGGGCGCGGCGGGGCGCGGCAGCACCTCAGTCCGGCTGCTACCTCAGTTTTATGACTGTTCGTCCTCAAAAGAGCGGCCCAAAAGGCCCCAGAACGGTGGGCAGCGCAGGCAGCGCTATTGCACCTGCAGACTTATTCAGAGAGTCGTCTGCGAGAGAGACAGAGCGACGAAAACGACGCTCTGCATATCTGCAAAGGCCGCTGGGCCGAGCGATTCCAAAGCGTCGTTTCGGCGCTTCGCAGGTCGAAGAAACAAGTCCTCGGAATCGGTCCGCCGGCTCACGGCTCCAAAAAGCTTCCTGCTCGTCGCCGTCCTTCCTCGGGCCGCGATGTCCGCCATCCGCGCGGCGTCCGCCCCGATCCAGCCTCAGCCAGCTCGGCTTTAGGGACGGCCCCCGCCCCTCCTCGCCGACTACACGACGGCCGCCTTGCTGGCCCCATGACGGGATGGCGTATGACAGGCCTTGGCGGTCCGTGCCCGGCCCGGCCTTGGAACGCATCGCCCGGCATCGCCTGGCCCGGCATCGCCCGACCGACCGGGAGCGTCCCTGAGCGGCGTCACGTTTCCGTCACGTTTCCGTCACGTCTCCGTCACGACGCGTCACACGTGCCGGCCGGGCGCTACCGACACCGGCGCGGCGCGCGGCGCAGTGGAGGCGCGTGCCCAGAGCCCCGCAGGCCGCAGAGCGCGGTGCCCCCGTTGGGCTGCCCCCGATGGGGCCCGCGAGGGGCGCCAGGCGTCGCGGCGCCTCACCTCAACTGCTGCTGGCGGAGCTGAAACTCGTGGAGCTGGAGGTGGTGGTCTAGATGGAGGTGGTGGTCTAGAAGGTGGGTGGACGCCACCCCGCGCCGCAGCGCCGCCATCTGCACCAGCTGCGCGTGGGCCATCCGTCAGCAAACACAGAGGAGACCGCAGGTCGCGTCACGAAGCGCGTCACTCGTCCGCGTCGCGTCACGTCGCGTCCCGGCGGCGTCGCGTCGCCGCGGCCAACAGCACCAGCGTCGTCGTGGAGGCGGCGGCTCCTGGCGGGGGCATGGCACGCAAGCCTGTCGACCTGTCGGGGCTTGTCGCGGTCCTCGGCGGCACTCGGCAGCACTCTCAGTGCCCGGCTTGACACCAGCAAACCAGACCCGTCCCGCACCGCGCACCGGCACCGACCGGCCAAACAACAAAACTGAAACCGAGAGCGAGCGACGCGCAGCGCAGTGGCCAGCCGCGCTCCGCGCTTCGGAGCCGAGCCGAGCCGGGGGGCCGCGGGGGCCACTATCGGTCCGGCACGACGGAGCGGCGAGCAGGGCGGGGGGCGGTAGGGGGCGGTGGGAGGCGCGCTTCGCTTCGGATCTGCCGGCTCCGAGGATGTGCCGAGCGAACCGCGCCGAGACGAGGCGGCCCGAGCCGAGCGCCGCCGAACGGCCGCCGAACGCCATGACGCGACGCGCGTCGCGAGCCTCGCCTCGCGAGCCCAGCCCACAGTGGGCCAGAAGCCGGTGGAGGCGGCCAAAACTCTAGACGCGTTTTGAGCTCCAGAGTCGCTAAGTGGGACTCGAACCGAACGTGTGACCCCACTAATAGATTGCTCTCCGAACGAGGAATCCATTAGTGGGGTCACACGTTCGGTTCGAGTCCCACTTAGCGACTCTGGAGCTCAAAACGCGTCTAGAGTTTTGGCCGCCTCCACCAGCTTCTGGCCCACTGTGCAGCCCCAGCTTGCCCCAGCTCCAACGAACGACAGACGACGCCGCGCGCCTCGGGGGGCGGGGCGGGGCGAAGGGAGGAGGTCCTTTCTCTGGCCCGCCGCCGCCACCCCGCCCGCGGCATCGCGGCCCGCCCGCCCCCGCGCTGCACCCGCTGCCCCGCTGCCAGTGGCCCCCTCGTCGCCTCATTCACGAGCACCAGCCTCGCCCACTCCAGCGCCTGCTCCCCGCGCGCCGCGCCGACGCGCTGGCGTGGGTGCCCCCGGGCCGCGACGCCACCCACGCGGAGAAGTGCGTCGTCTCGGCCGCCAGATCAATCCCAGCAGGTGCCAATACCCCTCCACCCTCCGCGGGGAAGTTGTCAACCGCCTGCATCGCGGGTTGCCTGGCATACGAGCGCTCATTCCACGTATTCCACGCAGTGTTTCGTCGCTGTCTCACTCTCACACACGTCTACAGCGCCGGACGTGCCGAGTGCGGGAAAGAGACAGAGCAGTGGCAGAGCGACGATTCGGTCTGCAGCCAGGCCGTCCAGGGATAGCCGGCGCGTCCCCACGGCCAGGGGCGGCCAGGGGCGGCCAGGGGCAGGGACAAGGCAGACCTGCAGTGGACCGGCGAGGCGGGGTGGGCGGCAGCGCCCCACCGCATCCGTGGGGAAGGGCCGCGGGCCGCGGGAGAGGAGGGCCACATGTTGAGCCAGTGTGGGGTGCTGCGCGCTGCGGCCCTCGCTGCGGCCAGTGCTGGCTGCCGCCCAGATCACCCGCGGCCCGGCGGCCTGGCTGGGGGCGGCTGGGTCTGGGTCTGGGGGCACGGTGCGCGGGCGTGCGGGCGGGGTGTAGGGGCAGGTGGCAGGCCTGCCCTGCCGACGGCCCGCCGCACCAGACACTCGCACTTTCGTTATCGAGCGGCAAAGCCTCCGGTCCGAGCCGCCGTCGTCTGCTCGCCCAGCCTGTCGACTGATTCCGAGGGCCGCCTCCGTCGCTCTGTCTCTCTCGCACCTATACGGGACGCCCCACGAGTGCGAGAGAAACAGAGCGAC